TTTTCCGTTGTAAAGGTCTCCCACTTTCACACTGTGGTAGCCACCTGAAGAGGACAAAATGCATTATGGCAAGACAGGTCAGACAGGCTTAAGATAACCTGGTTATTACAGTTAAATTAAGGCGACACATTGGAAACCTAAACCTTGCAAATGCAGGTATAAATACTGAGTAGGCAGGGACTTGCCTTTGCAGTAGTCATTGGGGTCCTCCTGCTCCTCATCATCAGAGCCCAGGATCTCCTCAGGTTCCTCGGGTTCCTGCGGCGAGGCTTCTTCCTGGGTCAGCTGTCGAGCTCTGGTAGTGGGTGGTTGTCTGGTGGACAAACACAGGAACAGAAAACATCATAGACTTCACTCAAAAAAAGAGTCCCTCACACATTCTTTCCTGCCTGAAAGACAGAAGCTGAGACAAAGGAAAGGTGGTTGTTTTTTTATCTGCTAAACAACACAATGCACAATAGCTTGCACATAAAAGAGACTATAAGCTACACCTTCAGCTATGAGAAGAAAACGGAGATTCTTCAGGTGGACCCGGCTTTGAACTGCTGAAGATGATGAAGTGTTGCATTTCAACATCTATATATTGTTTATGCGGAAGATGTGTTCTCAAACCCTTCCTGCTGCAACAGATCCTCACTCCTCTTTCCACAGCTATCACACACACAAATACCTGAAAGATTAAAAGAGATCTTTGCTGCAGGGTATATTTGTTCTTAATGCAACGCTATGCAGTTGTCAACACGTCTAAAAAAGATTGGCTGTAGTAAATCTTAACGTAGTCCTTTTTTAGGTTAAGTGTACACTGCAACTTTCCTGTTTAGGAAAATATAAAGCCATGTTGAATCAGGACCTCAGTTCTAGGTATTGAAAGATTCTCTTTAACAAATTATCATACATATTTATATATATATGCATCATAATTAAAAAGAGATTAGGGTACAAGCCTGTGTGTCAAGCAATTACAAAGCTCAATTATTGTGTCATTATGTCGGTTTAAAAGATGGAAGAGACTAAGTAAATCTAGAGCAATACATAGAAGACTGAACAAATGTGGATAGTAAAGCTAGGCTGGGGATGGTACTTTAGAAAATGTTTTTGAAATTCTCTCCACATCCTAACAGCAAACACTAAATCAAAAGCACTGACAAAAAATAGAATAATCTGGTATCTGTGTTGTAGGACTGAAATACAATCTGCCTGCCTACTGACCCAGGCTGCTGGTCAATCTCTCTGGCTTCTCAAATGTCTTCTCAGTGCTTTAATAAAAGAGCTTTTAGAAATAAACTCAACATTTGGGGGATTTAACTTAGTACCTAAAAAAGACAGAGAGGTACGTGTTAGTACACAATAAATGTGTTTGCATTAAGCAAATGTATGAAAGTCTACATAAATATTTTGATTTTAATAACAGTGTATTGATCTAGTAGTATATATTTTGAATATATAAAAAGGGATATTTGGGAAGGGGAATGTTTGTTTATGAGTTGCGTTTCATTAATTAGGTCATACAACTCTTTGAATGAGAAATACAAATATAACAGTAATGGCTTTTGAGCCAATCCAAATATAGTGTTTTTCACAGCGTATGTAAATGAAAATCCAGAAAATCTAAAAAACAAAAATAAATTCAGTCTCACATTGGCATGTTAGCAATTTGTTTATGTATTTATGTATAACAATCCATAACCTTTGTGTGCCAACAGTTCAGTTCCTAATTTTATCTTGAAAGCCAAACAGCCTGATGTTACTTCCTCCACAGAGCAGATTAAGGCTGCTCATCACCACAGGAGCCAAGAGATCTTAGGTCACATTCAAATAAATTAATTATCTCGTTAATGAGTCGCTGGTCTCCATGTAAACTGAATACTACTTATTCACGTCTGGCAAAATAATTTGAAGCACAGCGATGTTAAAGCATGTTGCAAATACTAATATATTCCAACTGAATTGTAACTGCTATTCGTTTTATTTGAAATGCATTCATTCATTAATCCTGCATTGCTTGTAATTTATAATACACTTTAAGGAAGCAATCAGAATTTGTACTAATTAATCTTCTCAATTCTCATATTCAGTCAGGACTCTTTATTGACAATTGAAGAATTAGGATAGGAACCAAAGAAATATCATTACTTGAATTAAACAGCAGTCTAATTAGTCAAATGTATCATGAAAATAAAAATACTTATGGGGGGTCGTTTGCTGGGGAGCATCAGTTTGGCTGAAAGGTTTAATTAGTCAAATGTATCATGAAAATAAAAATACTTATGGTGGGTCGTTTGCTGGGGAGCATCAGTTTGGCTGAAAGGTAAAACAGTGAATTTTTTTTTTTTTTAAATAATCAAAATGTCTAATAATCAAAATGTTGTGATGTATATTTATCTGAGAGAGGCAGAACTGAGATTTATTGTGATAACTGATTCAGAACTATAGCTCCCCCACTACGTCTTTCACAAGTGTGACCGCTATTCTATACATGTGGTGCTTAGCATGCAAACATGACTGTGGCATGCCACTGCACTGTTTTAAGATATATTTAGCCTCTTAGATCATATGATTTGTCTGCCTGATGGACATGCCTGTTTCAGCCATAAAGATAATGCTGGAAGGACGTGAGTATCTGCATGCAATAGTAGTGCTGATTTCATTCAAACACCATGCTTCGGTGGGCTGATGTGGGCTTCTTCATTCTCTGGTTTTAAATATAGCTCAGGCTGTTATGTAACACTCCGGAGGATGCCACTGACAGCATGATTATTACATTGTTAGGTACACACAAACATCAGTATAGGAAATCAACACTTGAGGGGACTATTTTGGGCCCTAATATTATTTTAATGCAATCATTCATAAACTATTTTTATAGTCAGATAGCTTTCGGATGGTTTATTTCAGGCAATGCATACTGCACGTTCTACTTACTATATCTTATTAAAATAACTGCACAGATCAATAATGCTAATGCCCTTACTTGAACCCAATGAGAACATGGAAAGCTATAGAATCAAACCAGAGTCCTAGACCTTATTCTTACACCTCTATATCCTTGGATCATGCACGAACCAAAAATAAATTGCAAGCATGCAGTCAAGGCCCTTGTGTCAGTTTCACATGTGAACGTCTGGACCATGTGCATGTGTCCAACTGCAACAAACCACCTCTGACTAAACTGACTTAATGCATGCCTGTATGTAGAAAATAATGATCGACTTTATATGAGGGTTTAAAATAACTCACTTTTTGCTGGTCTTCTTTGCTTTCCCTCTCTTCTTCCTCGCCTGGAGTGCTAGAACTGTCAAAAGAAACCATTGGCCAGTTATCTTGCATTGTCTTGCTGCGGTTTGTTGTCTACTTGACACTCAACACAAAAAAGAAGAAGAAATTATGACACTGTCTGAGGGAAAGGGTACCACTACTTCATTATGATTATACTTATACACCCGGACATTATGCACTGAATTATGTCATACATGCGACTACTAACATCTAAATCACAATTGCGGTGCGTCTGTCTAATCGCCGTCTGACGTTACATCCCTAGGCTACCCACATAGGTACCCGTTCCCCTCAAACACTGTAACATTAAGGATAGTACATCAGGAAGTGATTTCACGCTTGTGGCTTATTCACACAATATCAACTGTTAAATATTGTCGGTGTTTTAGTTAGTTGTGGGTTAAAGGGAAAGAGCAGGAGAGCTAAACGCAGCTACATAATCCTGACATGTCCCATTGAAGCTAACGCTAATGTCTAGAGAGCTAGCCGCAGCTCCACAGTGCGTGACAGACGCCTTACAATTAAACCCTAAGCAGCGAGGCTAAATTGTACATTTATGACCGCGGGGGAACACACACTGCAGTGTCAACACACACACGGGCTATCATTGCTCTTACGATGTACGGCGTGTCGGTGTGAAGGGTTACCTTTTCTCTCCATGTTGGCTGGACTCGTAGCTTAGCTGTTAGCTACACGACCAGTGATCGAATGTTCCACGCATGCGCACTGGTTCGTTTTGCTCAAGGGGGAGCTTCTCCACCTGAGCACCAGGCAATCTTTTGTATCCTTTTACTACAAGCTGCAGGGCGAAAGTATCTTTAGGACTGCTTATTCTGCTTACCAATTAGACCAGTCATGCAAGTGCAACATATAAAGTTTAAAAGACACAAACTCACTCCAAGCCTCAAAGAAAAAAAACACATAAGTAAGCGATGCAATGATCGTTTATCTAGCTTTGTATTTTTTACCAGATGGTCGAATAAATAATGTTATAAGTCTTTATGAATATATGCACTGTGTGAAGAGTTATATCATTAAAAATAGTATGGAATAAAACGTTTCAAATTCTGATGACATATTGAATGTAATATTTCTCAGGCACAAATTCATAACATTTAGCAAGGATACCTTAAGATTGGTAAATAAAAGAATGTGACTAAGCTATGAACTCAGTCACAATAGTATGGTAATAATATTATCCTGTTCTATTTTTTAATTATCATAACAAAACTTGGCCTTTCGGCACTGTTATCTCTTGAGTTTATGGCCCGCGTGTTGGAACAATACTTTACCTCTGTTTGAGGTTATTATGGTCTATAAACCAGGGCGGAGGACCATTTTAGCATTATGTTTTCAGCATCCTGTGTTATGAAATTGTGGATTGAGCATGACACTTTGAGAAACACATTAATATAGATTTCCTTTTGAACAAAGTGCTTCTTAGATATTTGTGATTTTACAGCCAATCTAAGGTTTTTCATTATTATTTGTAGTTTTTCTGTTTAAGAATGTTTTTGTGCTTTAAAGTCAAAATATGCATGAAGTAAATGTGGTGCACGTCATACATTATCAATATGCAAGTCTCTTAGTAAAAACCCACAAAATAATTTAAATCATTAATTAAGTGAAATCACAGAAAATTGGCACTAGAATAGTAAAATAAATAGTAAATAAAAGGTTGTTTGGACAACAGAAAACCAACAAAAAACTGAAAAAAACTGAAGGTCTCTTAAAAATAAGTCTTTATTTTGTTAAACAAAGGACTGACGATAGTAGTTACTCTGCTGGACTGAAAATAGTTTAAGGGATCTTTCGATTGTTGTTTTATAAATATCACCTCCACAAAGTATAAATACGTCTGAAATCCCTCTCATACACATTAATGCAGAATTTCTATTATAGGTTTTAGCATGACACTTACATTTCCTGTAAACCAACAAAACACTCTCGCAAACGCACACAAATTCTTTAACTGATGTACATACTAGTGATTGCTTTATAACATAAGCACAATAAGTCTGATTCTTTAAAAATAACGCACAGATATTTACATCATATTGAGTAGAGCCTTGAATATTGTTTTCCTACTTAGGTGCTTTGTTGAAAAGTACGGTCTTTAAACAGCAGAGGCTCAGTTTTTTCTGTATCGCCAAAATATCTGTAAGAGTCTCACGGAGCATCTAAACTATCAAAATAAACATTAAAATGTGTGAAATTCAGTTGGTGAGCACTGAAGGTCAGTGACTACACAAACAGGCACATTCTCAAATTCCTAAAAACAAATCTACTTCTGTCACAGATATGAAACCCTTACGAGTTGTATTTTAAATATATGAACAATTACCATAACTGAATAAGTTTACAAATACATGTGACCCAGTGCTATATGTGACAGCTTGGCATGGCAAGTGGTAGAATAGCATATCCCTTTTACAATTGATGGACAAAGGAGCTTTTTCATAAGTTACTCAATAGAACATTTTAAAAACACAAAACAGCACAGCTATAGGTCCAGGTGTTTCAGCATCTCAGTGTCACAGTGACAAGTCATCAAAGTCTAAATTAAAAAATATCTGAAGAATATAAAATGATTTTCAGCTATTGGCAAGAAGTGACATTGCCCAGCAACAGACCATCAACATTAGTGGTTTATAAATAAGATTAATGATAAGCTCTTCCTTTCCCTGCGCTGATTATAATCTCCTTACAGGAGCTAATTGTGGACAATGTTTTCTTGGCTAAAACAGACCGACAAAGGCTGGCAGGCACTCTGATACAAGTGTGTCTGAGGGTTGGTTTATCACTTATGCTCATGTTCAAGGTGGTTACGAGTTGTCGCAGGCTGGACCCGATGTGGGTAGCTCTTTACTGCATGTCGTCCTCATCATAGAGTGGTGGCTCAAATTCACACAGCGCCTCATACGTTAATCCTGTAAGGAATGAGAAAATTGTTCAAATCAAAATCAGGGTTCTTTTTATTAACAGTATTAATGCTTTCCATGTGAAATAAGGACATACGTTTCCATTCTACAATCACCAGCTCGCGGGTCTCAAAGCTCTGGTCGTACGGCTTGGCCTCGGGCTCATCGTCCGGGTCGTGGTACTGAGCAAAGTACGGGTGAGCCAGAGCTCCGGCTGCTGTTATCCGCTTGTCTGTGTCCAGGACCAGCATTTTCTCCAGAAGGTCCACAGCTTTAAAATCATGTAAAACAACGTTAGAATTACAAAATATATATTCATTGCAAGTAGCAGGGCTGGCACCACAACACAATGCTGCAGTTATATTGCATTACCTTGTGGATTGGCACCAATGAACACATCAGCAAAGTTCCTCTTGGGCATTTGAGGCAAAGAGCTGATGTAGTTCCTGGCCTGTAAAAAAAACATGTGCAGTAAATCAAACGTCAGCTCCCACTAGCAGAAACATGTCTCCTACATTCAGGGGGGGTTGTTTCGCAATGCTCCTATATTTTGATGCTACTGATTCCGTTCAATGTAGCCACCGGCATCTAATTATTACGGCAAACTTCCCACATTCCCATCAATAGACGAGAGAACATAAGCCTGAATGTTTATATATATTTAAGGCCCATAATTTTTGGATATAGAAAAAAATGATTTTCACCCCTATTTTGTGTTTGACAACGCTCATCATTGCAATTTACAGTAAACACGGTCCTCTCTTGGATAGGAAAGGGTTGTTTGCCCAAGGCAGAAATGACGTGAAACAACCTTTTGTACAGGGTTATTGACTACCAGAAGAGGGACAAAGGCAGTTAAAAACAGCTCGAGGCAAATATATGATTGACAGCCCAGGAATGTTGCCAGGGAGATGTAGAGGAAAACACATCGCAGTGTGGTGGATCTGGGTTTCCCTTTTCTAACAGTTAAACAAAGTTTGTGTGTATATCCAATTTTAATATATCCCATTACATTTTTTAGTACATTCTTCAATAACAAAACTTTATATATTCCACAAAAATGTAAAACGGAAAATGATGAGCTCCAAATATCGTGTAAAGGAAGGACTCTGCTGTCTTGGTCTACTGTGTGAGACTCGACATCAGTAACAAAGCGACAAATCATTTTATGTGACTAGTCATCATTTGTTTCCTGATAATACACCCATTAGTAAGGCTAACCCTAAGCTCTGTGCTTCAGCCGCTGCTCTCTTCTATCCCTTATACTGCATTTTCTTTAATTTAATTTTTGAACACAGTCCAAACAGGGCTTTTATAAACTTTTTGTAGTTTTATTACAGGAGTTTTTAGATAGGTTTTTAAACAAAAATATTTACCCGAGAGCCCGTTCCCCAAAACCCTAACCCTAGGGGGATTAATAAAGGTTAATCTTCTTCTTCTTAACAAAAAAGATTAAGTTGCAGACTGGCAGTTATTCCATCTTTAGAATGAAAAAAAAAAGCACATCAATTGCACAAAAACATGTTGAGAGAAGCAAGATCTTTAGGAAATTTGCAACAAAAAAAGAAAGAAACCACAGAACAAAGCGTCTTTCATAGGAAGTGCAGTTAGTCACTACTGTATATAAAAGTAGCTATAACACTGTGCATGTTTTAATCAGGACATTTAAATCAGGATATTTGAACAGTAACTGAGCAAAATGACAAGCATACAAATGCCTTTACCACTTCTGGCAATCACTGTTCGGTCTCATGCAACAAGCGTGTCAGACAGCCAACACACAATCACTGAGAATTCATCCTAAATCCTCGACAGGCCGTGCTGCTCCGCAAACCCCACTTGACCAAAATAGTCTAAATCAACCACGTGATGATGTGGTCATGTGGTTTGTGCCTTCTCATTAAAGAAGAAACAAAAAGGTATATTTTATTTGATATTCATCTTTAAGGCTGGGTTACATGGAGAAATCGAAATATCAGCTTACTTTTGATCGAATACGTCAATATGGATATTTCAACAATATTGTTGGGTTGACCACAAGTGCTTTCACAAATACTTGCCATTATAAATTCTACACATTTCTTTGTGGAACAATATGGGGATAAATGAAGTATACTAAGCCAAGAGCTGCGTCACAAGAAAAACGGTTGAGTTCTGACCGTCTTCCCGCTCGTCTGTTGCAAGGTCTAAAGAAAGAAACTGTGGATCCTGCTCACCTCATGGCTGGGCATCCTGCTTATTAGAGTTGCTGGGGGCGTTCCTGTTAGACGCATTATCTGCTGAAGCTGGTTTATATCTATGAAGCTTGTGTCAAGGGGAGTATAGCGACAGAGCGGAGTTGGTTAAGAAGCTGCTTTTCAATCTGACACTGTGGCGCTGAACTCTTGATGCACTGCAATGTTATATTGAAAAGCAAACTTCAAGCAATATGTGAGGAAAGGAAGTTAGGATTTAAAAGGAAAAACACAAGAAAATACTTTGCAATACAGTCAGAGAAAGCCAGAGCTGTCATTGTAATCATATCATGACACATTTCATTTAATTCAACCAGTTAAAGAGGCAGGAAGCAGGTCTCATTCCCACAAAGCTGAAGGTTGTAAAAACATGCTGTCAGTCAGGCAGCAGAAGCACCAAGTTATGCACAACAAAGTGGCAAGTTTGGAGCAGAAAACGGGTTAGAGAAAAACCTTGCATATCTTTGTGAACTCACAGAATCTGAAGATATTTTCATCAAGAGCTCGGGCCCTGGTGTTCCGACGAGCAGCATGATTAGCTTCAACTGATCAATGTCTACCGGCACGGTAAAGGAAGACCAGATGCTGGACAAGAGAGAACTTATAATCTGCCTTGTTAGTCTTCACCCTCCACTAAAAAAACATCTGTGATATTAGATTTTTATATTCACACATAAGATGCAAAAATAGATAAAAGCCTACATGTAAGTGTGCACAAAGTGAAGAGAAGGTATTTGAAAAGTAACCTGCAGACAGCTTACAACAAGACAAAAGTGGAGGCAGCTAAAAGCTCTGTTGAACAAGCTCAGCCGTTAGTCTGAAAACACTGGCAGGGGGGGGGGGGGGGGGATAAATAAGATAAATAAAATGTGGAGCTTATTCAAAGACTGGCAGTTGTGCAGGGAGTAAGTGAACCAAAGCCAACATTGCATACTGACGGTGTAGGAAGAGTTGAAGCACGCCAGTGGAAACATTACAGCAAAGGGTATGAGCCAAGCCAGAGGGAAGTGTGCAAACAAGTACCATCGGTGTTACGTTATTGATATTAAAAACACCTCAGGCTGCTTTGTGTTGGAAGAGAATAGCAGGAAGAGCAGGTTTTTCACGAGAGGAGACAGAAAAGAAGCGTTGAAGATCAGTTTCTGCGACTGCGTTGACAAATATCATAAACAGTACTTCCACAAATAAGTCCATGTGCATTTAACCCGTTTGATTTGTTATGCAAATGGTGGATCAGGGTCTCTCAAACTATAGGAGTGAACGTTCAGTTCACTCAAATGAAAAGGATACGGTCAGTCCCAGGAAACAGAGTTTTTCCAGTGAGGAGTTCTGCCATTATACAGCCGACTGACCAGATATCCACTGGAACACAGAAAAGAAAGGCACATACATTCATATTCACTCAGCAATCAACTCCTCTATGATGATGTATAGATAAAGGAAACGCTCTGTCTCTACCTGTCATGTTGTAATGCATCCAGTTCAACATGATCTCGGGGGCGCGGTACCAGCGGGTGGCCACGTAGCCGGTCATCTCATCGTCAGTGTGCCGCGCCAAGCCAAAGTCCAAGATCTGAGAACAATTGAATTACAAAAAAAAAAGCAGAAATGTTTGTAAAATACTCACTATTGTGGAAAGCATGTTTTAAATGAGAGCAGTGGTTCACTGACCTTCAGCTCACAGTCTTCATTGACCGCCAGATTACTAGGTTTCAAATCCTGAAGAGAGGAAAAAACACATGAGGATTAGTAAGGGAAATCCTCTACTAAAGACATTCTCAGTTGACTAACACTATGATAAGATATTGTCGATTAATTGAAGAAGAATATAAAAGCACCACTTTAAATCTTGGGTTTATCAGACATGCTCATTGCAAATGCCCCTGTTGGGTGACTATTAAAGGGCTGCCTTGTGTTATACGTTTCTTGGAAATAAATGATTATGCATGTTGAAGTAATTTAAACTAACCAAGACCAAAATGACCAATAGTCAGAGTAATTGACTAAGAGAGGGCAGCCCTAGAATTAGTGTGATTTGAGTTTAGGTGATAAGGCACACTTTTGGATTGACATTGCAGTGCATCTGAAATCTTGATCTGTAGAAATTGTTCAGATTATAAAGTAATCCACCCCTTTGTTGTAAATGCAAAAATAGAAGCCGTACATAATTAACAGCATGTAAAAGTAAAGGTCCTGTTTATGACTTCCCTTCAGTTCAGTGTTTGCACAAGGCCCGGTGAAAGATGTTATAAAGCCTGACACACTTCTTTTTATCCGAATTGGAGCAAAGACACAGTGACATTTGCTGACAGACAAAAAAAATCTAACATGGCACTTACTCTGTGAATGATGTCTGCCGAGTGGATATACTGCAGAGAGATGGAGAACATGTTAATTAGCAGTATCAGCTTAAAAGGTGTATTAATATTACTACATAATGGGCAGAAGAATGCAGGAAACATTGATTCATCCAACATTTTGGGCAATATGCTCACTCTCCCTCTTGTCAAGAGGCGAGAAAGCAAATATACACATTACCCAAAATGCCAAGCTTTTTCTGTAAGAGCTCACCTTTAACCCTCTGAGGATCTGGTATATGAGGAACTGCACGTGGTCGTCTGTGAGCTTCTGACATTTCACTATGTTGTTGAGATCTGCCCCCATTAAGTGAGTCACAAAATACCTGCCAATCATAAAAGATCAAATAGACACACATATCAGGCATGTAAATGTTTTCCCACTTCCTGAAAAGCCAGATGGAATTAAATGAATGTATTTGCACTTTGAGTTTGTTAAGTCTGAAACTATTTCCCCATATGACTGTGTGAGTTTAAAACCGGTTTAACTGCTACTTCTTTTCTTTCTTTCCAGAGGCTCTGAAAGGCCAATCCCTTCACAAATGGAGCGTCATTTAACAACACACCCAATTTAATAGAACGGCATCAATGGATTATTCAAATCTAATCCCAGAGCTGTTTAAAATGCCCTAAGAGCCCTTGTGAAAGAAGGATGCTTCAGCCAAGATACACAGAGCCATGTGCTGTTTAGCAAATAACACTCTCTTCATGAATACTCTTCTATTCTCACACAGCAGCACACAGAGCGAGGTCTTTATATAGCACCCGCTTACGCTTGAACTTGAACAGACACCCTCAAAAGTTCACCGGCCTTGGAAAAAAAGGGGATAAAAATAGTGACCTCTGTTTTCCTCTCTCTTGTAGAAACAGGAGCTCGGAGGAGCCACAGCGTTGTGACTCAGTCTGTATTTTTAGAGCCGAGGGGAACCATACTTGCAGCACCTGCATTTCTGGGATTTTTCCTGGATATCATAATGCATTCAGAACATTTACAATGTTCCAGCAGATGTGCAGATAAAGAGAGCCATATTTTCTCCTGAAAGCCTGTGAGTCAGCATTTATTCTTCTATACACTGTAAGAGAAGCTCCACACCAGACAGCTGTCTCTCATTAACCCTGTTACACACAGTTGTATTGCATTCAGTCCTTCATAACATTATGCTATTCTGGGCACTCATGATGGACAGTAGGTCATAAAAAGGTTCAAAATAAGTGCATCAGAAACACCCTATTTCTTTATGTTATGCCTTCTGCTTTATGTCTAAGGCTGACTGACTAATATTGCAATTTTGACTTCCAACAGTTGTCATAGATAAATGTGCGTTACCCTATAACATAGGTCAGAGGTCTGGCAAGATAGTTAACAACATACCAACAGATTCCTCGCTTTAAACTTGTACTCTTCAAACCTGACTGACAATTTATCTGTAAGACTTTGCGCAGCTCCCTCTGGAGTCTCAAAGGTATTTATACAAGTGTTTTCATATAAGCAGAAGTACTACTACCCATGACCACCATACTCATGTACATCGTCCTTTTAGGTCAGGAAGAATTAAATAAAACATTAACCTTAAAAGTGGAAAGGGCAGAGGCAATATTCAACACGGCAAATGCCACAAATTAACTAGTATCGCAACTCTGCAGTGAAAGTAGTTTTGCAGTATTTTGTAGACACAAATAACTTAACGAGTGAATACAGTTGACTTGCATACCAAATAGTTACTGCGTATCCTACCCTGTATGACTAAACTCTATGCCCCTCAGTTCTGTTTAGCAGCCATTGCACATTCCCTCGGCTAAAAAAAAAAAAAAAAATCAGGGAGCACTGTCTGCAAGGCCTTGTTTCTGTTCCTCAGAGTTGACATTTTGTCTAGTTTCTGAACAGATATGAGGAGCTGTGAGCTTGAGTGCTAACAGCTAACGGCTGATGTTGTTTTTCTGGGGTTCTCATTGAAGATGACGTCACAGCTCCGCCTACACTGCGTTACTATAGATACTACCCCAGTTCCTAAACTGTAATGGAAATGCGCCATAAAGTGAGCCAGTCCTAACAAGGCCTAACGAGGCCTAGCCATACCGAGCGAGGCCGTGTAGTGGAAATGCGCCATTAGATAGGGTTTCCTCCCACACAAAATAACATGCATGTGAGCTGTAAGAAATGATCCTGCCAATGTTGTTGACCAAGGCCTCAGACATGAAGTGGAAACTCCTCAAAAATAGATGGATTGGGCCAAGTTGTGAGGAATAACTGTCCATACAGGAATGTGTAAAGAATGAAATCAAATATCGTCAGGGAAGAAACTTCAAGTATTCAGTTGACACATTCTTAGGTTGGGAGTTGACCTAAATCTGGAGTCACAACTTGATCTTAATACAAATCCCTCAGTGTGTCTAGAAGAGAAAGAGACATTCCACGCACGGCGGGGGAGAATGCCACTGTCCACTTCCCCAATCCGAAGACTCTTTACATAAACAAAACACTACCTGTTCGCCAGAAAAGCAGATATGATTCACAAAGCCACAGAGCAGGAAACGAAGTCAAGGAAGCTGGTGTTGAAATGACTCTAGTAGCAGCCAGTGAGTGAATAACTAACAGAGCGGACAGTCTAAGAAATGTTCCAGTGTGTTTAGTCAGCTGGCCTGGCTCCAGGTGTTTCCCAGCCACAGCCAGGATTGTCTGCTGCTGCGAAACTAAAGGCTGTTGTTCACTGTTTATAAATCATGTACAAGTGTTGCTGAGGTGAACTTAGGATGCATGTTATTGTAAACAAAAGCATTCAACTTACACATCAGTGAATTCTTTTAGACTAGTAGCAGGGCTGAAGACATCCAGGAGGCCAATCACCTGCAAAGAAATGAAAACATTTGACGAGTTAACAACACAAGGAACAAAGAGGAAGCAACTAAAACCATAATTACAAAAAAGCAGGCCACACAACAATCCAACATGTTGTGAGGCGTTGTGCAAGTGAACTCAAAACACTTTTTTTTGGTTATGAGTGTTCACCAGAATACAGAACAAAAGGGAAGAGAAACAAGTTGACTCACATTTTCATGTTTCATGTGCTTCAGTAACCGCAGCTCTCTGTATGTTCTCTTGGCATGGATGATGGACTGGAAGGGCCGAGAGAGCTTCTTCACAGCGATCTTAAAACCAGTCTTCATGTCATATGCAGAACTGTTAATAAAAAAGTAGAAAAATGTGAGCTTGAATCACAGCATTTATAATTATCTTGTCAGTAACACTACTTAAATTAGAGACTGCAAATAACACCAAAACAAAACAAAAAACAGTAAACAATACCATCCCAGTTTCTCAAAGTACAAGGTGATGATTATAAATAGCTTGTTTTGTCATTCCAACGCCCAAAGATATTAAGTTTAATGTGATATAAAACAGAGCAATAAGAGGAAGTGAAGGGCTGAAAACAAAATGTTCTTCCATTTTTGGATGAAAAATGACTCTAACAATAAGATCATCAAATGGTTTCCCTGGTTGACGTTTTACCTGTCAAACAAAAACATTGATTAGCAGACTAGTTGCTGCAGCACTAACCTACATTCAAAGGTTTTATGTCAGAATGTGCTGAGTTTTCTCTCAAAAACAAATTAGGTGCAGTAAGAGCTGCTGAAGGCTGTGGAAAAGGGCGACATCAGCAGAAAATGTCATCTCTCAGCAGATTGGGAGCAGCCGTGCCTGCAGTCCGTCCTGCACTCTAACGGCTGACTGTCTTTAAGCCAAACACTCCTCCTGCTCGAGTCAACTAACCAGCAGGGCCTGCAGCTGGGACTCAGAAACCAGAGAGAGATGCACCCACATCACATGGTGGTGAAGCTAAAATATCTTTACTCCTAATACAAATGTGGTTGCACATTTGGTTAGATCTTTAAACGTGCATCATGCATAATATGTTCCACAACAACTAAATTATAAATATGCATAATCCAAAAAACAAATATGCATTTCCAATAAAAAATACTTTTTGATTGACACAACAAATTATTATTATAACTACCGGTATAAAGCTGGGTATAAATAAACTGACCAGAAGTGTACGGTACATTTAGTCCTTCATGTAAACAATGACACTATAAGCCAGTGTACTGTTTTGGGGAAAAAACAATCACGTGTAATGCACTTGGGATGAGCAGACTGTAATCTGACCAGCAACAGATTATCTTATTGCCCAGCAACAGCACAGCCGTCCCTTCCATTTGCAAAACAAACATCTGCACACTAAACCAAGTGCACTGCAGACAACCCTGTGTCCTAGATGGTATCAGCACGACCTATTTAATCATTAGACCAATGCAAAGGGTCAATCTTAACCTCACACTAAAGCTACAATGCAGCATTAAGGAATTGCACCTCACCAGCAAGGTGGTCCGAATCAAGGAGTCAAAATCCCATCTCTATTGTAAATATAATGTAGTTTGTATTGCAAATGAGTGATTATTTTTTCAAAAATCATGTTAAATCTGCCTTAAAAAGTTATCAAAATGTTTTCATTAAGACTGGGAGGTATATTGAAAGGATATAGATAGTTTGATAAGACTACCTATCATTTAGAATGTGTAAGAGAAAGGAAAGTGTTAATGATCTGTTTAGATGTAGGCCTATAACAGGTAAATGCATACAACTGCACTAGTGGCAAGCGCTGCAACAACAACATTGATTTAATTATCGATCAACATGTCAATTCACTTAACAATTAATAAAATATCATTTAGTATGTCAAATGCATATTGATAAATGTCTGAATTATAGAAAACTGGAGAGCATCCATTTCCAACAAACCATGTATTTTCACTTGCTGAAGGACTACTAATAACCAAAATATTGTGTTGTGTTGAGCAAAAATCTATAGTATTTGAAACTGTTCAACATGGATAAAAACCTATAATGTAAATCAAATCCCTTTTTCCAAAACATCATTAGAGTAGCCTTTGGGAAAAGTATCATCATTAGATATAATTGCTCTGTGATTGTAACATGCCCACTGATCAGATAAAGACTCGCGTACTTTTTCCACAGTTTAACGTTGTTTATTTAATAAGCAGCTTCCTGCAGTGCATTTCGTGTGAACATGTGTGCAGTTACACAGGTTTAACACAAGTTTAACAAGTGGATAATGAGAGATAAATAACAGGTCAACAGGTTTTCTTGTTGGTAGCACATCGTGGCTCCACCTTGCTAGCCAACAATCAGGACAAGCTAACCTAACTTTAGCATCTGCAGCGCAGGCCTCGTCTAAATGAATGGAGGTTAAGTTAGGTGACCAGGCTACTCAAAAAACTACCTCAAACAAATATCGTATAAAGCGCTTTACCACACGGATCCGTATGCGCCAGAGCCCACCGGGGTCAGGGTTTGGTAGCGCTCCGGGACTTCCCATATCGTCTTGTTGACCTCCTCTCGGTAAAACTTGGGTCTCTCTTTCTGCGACATTCCTGCAGAACAACTGCGGACCACCGACTCGACTTTCTGCTGTGGGCACTCCGAGCCGTGCAGACAAACTTCCCCAAAGTTACGAGAAAAAAAGCTACAGCAAACGTTTCTCGTCGTTAGATAACTTGAAACAATCGAAGGCTACGAAGTTGCGAAATTGTGCAGAATCACCGTCTGCTCAATGTACGTTTTAAAATCTTCTTCACGCTGTTTGTTCCTCTGCTGCTTTCAGACAGCTCCCGAGATTTCAACCCGCTTGCAACACGTCACATAGTCTCGCGAGATGTTGAGCAAACAACTTGGGACAGCAGCGCTAGACAGAAACTGAAACCCGTTCTGCTCTCAGGTGCAACAATACCTCATATTTCATAATACGATCATCTGCATCATCTAATCTGCAAAGTAACTATTACATTGAGGTGTCGTATACATTTAAAAGGAGTACATAACTATGAAATGTTTAATATAAGTAAATAAGAAGCCTATAAAGTCAAAGAACACAAAAGTGCTTTAGTGCATTATACTCAAGTTATTTTTGTCTTATTTTTTCCACCATAATAATGTGATGTGGAGGATGGTTTTGAAAAAACAACTTTCATAGAAAATTGCTAAAAGTAAATAAATAAATATTGTTGATTGATATCATGCATTTCTGTTTGCCATTTTTTATTTAAATATTATGACAAGTAGATTCACAATATTTGATTAGATATGTGACACTGACATATATTACATGTGCATGTGTTACAATTCACTTCTTGTATTTCTAAACCAATAACCACAGAAAATACTTGTTATATATAGGGAGATTTTTTTCTTCATTCACATGAAAGACATTTGAAAATACAAAGTAATAACAGCAGTTTTTATTGTAGAAATAGCTTCACTTCACATTAAAGCAAGATTAAATCATAACCTTAGGTTTAGCAGAAAATGATATCAAAAGCGAATTTAATTTGTATATTGCCATAAAAACATTTAAAGACTCAACTGGATGGCTCGTCTTATAAAAAAAAATTATAAAATAGAAACAAAATAAATTCACACTCACAGTTATGTAAAATGTACACTCTTACACATCAACAACAGTTTTAACATCATCCACAGTTTGGTTCTTATATCATTTTAAAATAGAAAATTGGGCTTTGAAACTGAATATCCCCAATATGGAGACTTTGTACTGCAATATGAGATTTGGCAACCCAACATATGGCAAATAATACTAAATAAAAGTGTTGCTCTTTAAAACTCCTTCAGTAAGGCTATGTTGTTTGTAATAAATAAAACGGTTTCAAAAGCACATCATTATTTTTCTGTGACTTCGTCTGTTGAAGATTTTATCTTACGTTTAACACTTCCTTAACAATCTGAAGTATCTGTTCTTCCTCTGGATTAAGCCTCATCAGAGTCTTCATCGTCTCTTAGATAGCGTGAAGATGATTTAAGTGGCACGGAGTCAAATCCATCTGAAGTCCTCTGCAAAAACAAGTATAAAACACAAAGCATGAGAAGTTGCCTTTTAGTGTCTCAATATTTGTGAATGTAGAAGTTACTGACCTCTCGTGAGAAGGACCTAATTTTAGTGAAGAAGGATTTCTTGGTGAGGTCCATGAGGTCGTCTTCTGCATCATCTCCCTCCATTATTGCACAGCTGTCTGCAGTGGGCAGCTCACACTCGTTACCCCCGGAGCTCATCATCAGCTTTGAATACTTAAACTGCAACCTGCAGACGGAAAATGACAGGAAATAATATCTTGTCAACAGAAATCCATATTTACTCATTAACATATTAATGCTGTAACAAGCACTAAAGGACATGTGAATCTCAGAAGTCTCACTTGCGTGTCTTCTTCCAGAAATAGCAGCTGATAGAGATGAGCAGCACAGCGGCGATCGTTCCCGTGGAAACACCAAACTTGAGCCAGAAGTCCAGAGACACACAAGCACTGACTTTTTGAGCTGGCAGTGACTCTCCGCCGTAACACTGCAACGGTTGCTGCCACACATAGGTGGTTCTCTGAAACACACAGAGAGACAGTTAGATTTCCCTGGGTCACATCACAGGTGGATCCTCATTTTTCCAGTATTTTCCTACAATGAATAATAACATTTGTTGGGTGTTAGTTGCTGGATAAGTTATAGTTGGACAGCGCCAGGCTAGCTTTCCCCCCCCTGTTTCCAGTCGTTTTGCTCAAATAAGCTAACTGACTGCTACCTGTTGGTTCATATGTTGTGGTTGTTTATTTAACTTCAATCAGTAAATACTGCTAACAAATTCTACAAAAACATTATAGAATTGACATATAAAGACAGATATAAAAACAATAGGACAGGTTAGGTACAGTAAATCCAAAGTTGCTGGACATGGGGATTAAGGAGATTCAGAGTGTATTCATAAATATATATTTTTTAATTTGCATAGATTAAGCAATAATGGGATATGGAAAAATAGGTATTAGTTTATCGGATGGTCTTTTCTTTCAAGAAATCAGCAGTTGGTGATGGACATCTGATGGGTTGCTAGGGTTGAGGACGTAAATATATCAATATGTTTATACTTGTGCAGCTATACCTGTATTCCCTGGGTGCAAGCACTGACGATCTCTCTGTAGTGTTCCTTGGTGCAGAGTGGACATGCATGCTGGCTCTCCCACAGGAGGTTGAAAGAACAACCATCACACGTCCCCTCTGAACAGTTACTGTGAAGAAAAACACAGACAAAAAGGATTATTACAATGTTTTCGTGACAGAAAAGATCTCTAAGAGTCACCTTGTCCTTAGTTCTGAGTCTCAGAGCTCAGAATGAGACAGGTAAGTACCAAATAATGGCGGTTGTAAAACACTAAATGTGTCAAATCAAATGATGTCCAGACAACTGTTGGTGAGGTCAAAAGTTGAGTTTGGTCACAGTGAAAGATACCTCGGCAGCATGATGTGGTCTTCAGCCGTCACTGTGGGATTGCATCTCAGTCTGATGGTGGCTGACCTGCCTTCTTTACAAGCCTGAGTTGTCTCACTGGACCTGAAATCATCACAGACACGAAGCTGTGAACTTCCACCATGTGATAAATCACTTCTTTTTATTCTGTACAACATTTCATACTTTAGCAAGTGATGTACTCGCATCTGCACACTTATATATTTAACAATACAAACCCAAATGTATATATGTTCATTCAGCTGATCAACGTTTACCTTGTTGTGATTTTATTTTCACATTTATTATATTTGTATTATATTGTATTCTCACTCTGTTGCTGCTTTAACTCCTGAATGTTCCCACTGGGATAAATAAAGGTCCATCTTATCTTGTCTTATCTTATGAAACTTCCCATTAATAAAATAAAATTAAATAACTGAAATTGTTATTATTAGACCTATTAAAAATATGTATTTTTAAAGAACAACAATGTATGAATGCAAATTTAGAAAGAAATAAGTAGCGCTCTTATTTACTTGTAATAGAAGATGACGTCATGTAGACCGGACGCAGAGGGAAACAGCCATTTTGAAGATGAAATTCTGCTCACTGTGGTCTTGGTGGTCACACCTTCAGAATAACATAACATTAGAACAAAACACATTTACCAAAATAGTTTGTAGTGTATTATTCAGTTACAAAATATCAAACATCCCAGCGGACCAAACACTATAGCAGAAAAGGCATGGTGTGTTTCCCTTTAATATCAGGATGTTTTACAGACTTTTCGCATAAAATAATCTTAAAAACACATCCTCTGATTTACAGAAAACTCAAGCTTGAGTTCATACCGATGAGTGAGTCACCAATGATGAAAGGCTGGGTGGACACCACGCTCTGACTCCTGATTTCCGAGGGAACCACAGTGGATTGACAGATGTAACCTTTGACCTCTCTCCCGCTCTCTGTCACATTGTCCACACAGGTAGCCGGCACTCTGCCCTGTGAGAGAGACACATCAGGTTTAAATGCAAGGTCAAACTACATTTTTACAAGTCGTCAGGATCAAAGCCTCTCACCTCTTTTCCACACAGAGCCAAATTGAAGCTGTGGAAATATCGGAGGCCTTTGCTGGTGAAGCGGGGGCTGCTGTGGAAGGCAGTGACGTTGGACAGCGGAGAGAAGTCATAGTGCAGCAGAACGCCCCCTCCTGTCTTCACGTCCAGTGTGCAGTCACTGAGACAAGCTGTGTGGGCCTGAAGGACAGAGAGTATTGTGTTTACTGTGGGTGGAATAATCTGACGGAGGGAAACCCAACTGGAAAAAGCAGATATCCACTGGAATATAGAGGCATGTAAACACCTTTTAAAACCTGCTATTACAGAAGATAGTTGTTTTTAGAACTGTGCTATTTCATTTTATTTTGGGGTTTGTTTGTATGCTGGGTATAATTTGTAAATGTTTGAAGAAAGTAAACTCATCTCAGGTTGTTAAAGCCCCCAAAATCCCAGAAAATATCCCCAAGGACATGACCTCTGTGTCCAAAACAGCCCTTCCTACATTTATGCAGTTATAGATTTAGTTTCTCTTTAGAGTGTTCTAGTGCTAATACATTTGTTACCATTACCTTGTTTCTCTGTGTGTTTGGGCCACACTGAATGCAAGCGGCCTCTCCAACAGGGTGATCGGTCCTGATGAAGGTGTTCGGCGGGCAGCTCTTACACACTCCTGTCCCGCTCACCATGTAGTGTCCGGGTGGGCAGGGGACACAGGCGGAGCCGGCGTCAGCGGTGCTCAGCGCACAGCGGCGGCACTGAGAGGCCACACCCCCGATCACATTGGTGATGTGGATGGAGAAGATCTTCGCAGAATCAGAGCTGTATTTCCTCTCCTGAGTGAAGAGAAACACAATGTGGTGTTCTGTCAAGCTTACATCTCCATCCCTGCTTTCTACTTCTACATGTTCTCATGTTGCTCATGTTGCAAAGGTCCTTCTGAATTGTTTAGACACACAGCTTGCAACTGCCATCTAGAGTTCAGTGCAACAACTGGGGGCAAAGTCACTGTCAGTATAAAAACACTCCTAAAATCAGCAAAAGCTAACATGATGCTTCGTTTTATCAGCATTACAGATGATTGTGTTTACAGCAGTGATCTGTAAATACATTCACCAGTTTATCTTTACATTTGAAACACTAAGCCAACTTTAAAAACAGAAACCACAAAGTGTTTTACCACGAGATAAACAACAAAAGCAGCGAGAGACACAAGAGTAAAGGACGGTCAAAACAGTCTAGTGACAGCGATGACCTTTTTCTAGCCATTTCTTTACAACATATTTCCATGGCTGAGGGAGTCAAGCTGTGGGAAGGTAATATATCCAGATTGAAATGTGTGACTGTCTCACCTCGTTGAGTTCCTCTGTTCGTTGAAATGTCCAGGTGAAACTGGTGGTGCTGTTGTTCTGGATCAGGTAGGAGTACGACTGTTTGCCGTTACTGCCTTTCCACTGCTCCACTACTTCATTATTCCACCTGGAGTATCCCTGCAGGCAAATACAATCACTTTATATGTATATATATATTCATACTGATGGCACACTTCTTTAAATGTTGGAACATTTCCCCTCACCACCAGGAAGTAGAATTTGCAGTCCGCTGTACACCTGGTCTCAAAGACGAATGTGATGCGAGAAAGTTCACTCCTTTCACTGTCTTTGGTCATGGACGGAGGCAGCCTGTGGAAACAAAAAGTGTTAAGTTCATTTAAGATTTCCAACAGTTATACTATACAGATGTTTAATTCTTTTTAAAAACATGCGTGACTCAACCTGTATCCAGGGACATTCAGCATGAGCGTCAGGTAGTCTGAGTCCTGATCCCCGGGGGTGGTGTAGACGTACTCACCAGCCACCTCCCATGCTGTCAGAAAAGTAATAATGTTTTTTAAAGTAAAAAGCTCAGATTTCATCCTTGTAGCAATGAAGACACATACAATTATACAGGTGGACATGCGGCATCTTTGAAAAAACTCCTTGGACATTTAATTAATCTATATCAAATAGGCTTTATTGATGAAAATAGTAAATTCAAGTTATTAATATATATTTAAAAAAAATTAATATATATTTAAATGGGACTTTACTTCAGCTATGCAAGAGAAACAAAAACAATGCATATGTTAACCTACTGAAAATTATAGAAAGAGATGTGAAGTAGGCATAATACAAGAAATGTTACATTACCACATAACATTAAAAAGGAAAATGGTTCTAGTAAGTCCATTTGCAATTGCATATCTGTATGTCTATGTCCTACAGGTGTCTCTTTTGTTGTGGATTAAACTGTAAATGAGAATGAAAGCATAAATTAGTACCAAATTAAATTCCTCGTACTTGTCAACCTACCTGGTAATAAACCTGTTTCTGATTCTGATATAAATAATGCAGGCTCTGAATGTGCCAGTTCATTTTTTGACCTTCGAAATATCAGCGTGATATTGAAACCGTACGAGCTTTCCAAGTTTATTTTACTCCTTATCTCTCATTGTCCTTATCTTAAATGGATAAGGACAAGGAGAGATACAAAGATTGGGCTTCTTGTCCTTTAACCTCTGGCTGTTTTAGTCGTATGGTTTCTCTCATGTTCTGTTCCTTAAGCTTTTTTCTGACTGATGATTAACATTCAAGTGCTGTGATGTTTGCCCTCTCCCTCTACACTGTGTCGCTTAACATTAAGTTTCTCACCCGTGTTTTTTTCAGAGCCGCTGAACTCTCGATTGAAGATGGAGCTTTTCATGTGGCTCGGCATCGTGTTCCACCATTTGTACTCGAGACCCTCCACTGGCTCCGTGCCAACAGGGCATTCAGTGCATGCTGTGAGGAAATACTGTGTGATTATGTCAGTGTACAAAAACAGGAAACTGAAACAGGAAACACCACAACTTTGTTGACAGTTTTATATTCTTTTTTAGATCACTCTGCAAGACATATTTTCAATCATGGTGCTATTAGAAGTGATAGTTGTGGTACTGTGGGACTCTATTTAGCATAACATTTGCTATTAAAATCACATTTACTGATAATTAGAAGTACATTAGTCAAATGAACATGATCTTGAGTCTGACATGCATGTAGGATAGAGAATAAGGAGTGTACTGATTCTGCACCTGCGCCGTTTGAGTAGAAACCCTTGTCGCAGGGTTCACAGGTAGAGGAGTTGGTGACAAAGAAACCCGGGTTACATGGAGGACAGGTTTGCTTCTCCCCTGATGCGGGCAGATCAACCGCTCCATCAAAAGTTTCATTGCAGATCTTTGGCTCGATCCACTTGTACATGAGCTGAGTCTGAAACACCCAGCAGGCCAAACCATAATACATGAGAGGAGCCAGCAGATGCTTTGTGGCCCACAGACAATTCATATGTAAAGAAACCTGATCGTAACACCAGATGGCTGCTGGGTTTTTTTTCAAGGCGAAATCTCCATGTGTGTGTTCACCTCTAATAAACCTGCAAGTGTTGTAATATTTCTACATATTATTTCTACCTTTCAATATTATTTCAATATTTCTACCTTTCCTTCAGAGTCACAGGGAGTGTGGGTGTAGAAGTAGTCACTGTTTGTACACGCAGGTCTCGGTTTGCAGCTCCCTGAACCAGGCTCTAGAAAAACAAGACACCAAGCCGGGCGTGGACGAGGGAAAACACAGCTCACATCAAGATACAGAGATAAGGAAAACCTCACACACTTTAGCAGTAAATGCAGTATTTGCATATAGACTGCCTTGCATATGTGTGACAATAGGGAAGGGTGTTAAGTTCTACGAATAAAGAGTATGTCGTTCCATGGAATGGCTGGCGTACGTTTGCAGAGCTCTCGAAAGACAAACAGTCATACCTGCATATTTGTCTTGTTCACACTGGTGGCAAACGGTGGCACCCTTGTTGGAGAAGCTTCCAGCAGGGCAGGCGGCGCAGCGGGCAGATCCTGCTTTGGCACTGTGGGTGCCGGGTTTACAATGGAAACACTCTGATGTGTAGGCCACCCCTGCAGAAAGCCATCAATGGACTTTGAATCATTAACAGGAAGAAGGTTCAGGAGTGAACAAATGTTTAAAGCTGTATCACGAGACCCTCTACAGGCGATTATCTACCTGAGATGGCGATGTTTCTTAACTGCACGGGTTTGACAGCACCCTGCAGAGCATACGCAGTGCTTCTCCAATACAGCACGTTGTTGCCGCTGTTAAGCTCAACCTGCATAGAGTGATGTGAAAGTAAGATTGGAACACAAAAAAACAACCATTTGAATCTAAGTGATTCAGTTTAATTAAGATCTACACTCAGACAAACCGTGTATTTGCTAAAGTCGCTGTCAGAGATCTTCATCCAGCGACTCTCAGAGGCCGTAGACTGACACTGGTCATTCTGGATCTACAGGAGGGGGAGAAAACAATGAAACAAATATCTACCCCAATAATTCCCATCTTTGTAAACATCACCACTCATCTTAAAATACTTACAAAGAACTCAAAGTAAATGCTGTTGTCAGGGTAGAAATATTCAAAGGTCACAGTTCCAGGTTTCTTCAGGCTCACAGCATAGGACAGTGTTGCAGTGCACTCATCTGTGTTCGAGGCGACATAATCACCCTTCGTTATCCAGGTCGAGCTGCAGAGACAGTCTGTTAGTGTCAAGGAGCTCAACAAACAGTAAGAGCTATGATGGATCAAAAAACATGCTTTTCAAATAACCAGTGATGGAATATTACTAAGTACCACCACACCCCTTCCCGCTGCCTCCGCTCATCAGAAGCCAACCTCCTATCCATCCCCACCGGCATCAAGCACCGGACCTGGGGGGACAGAGCCTTCTCCGTCGCTGCCCCCTCCCTCTGGGACTCACTCCCACAACCCATCAGAGACTGCCCTGAACTCACCACCTTCAAAAAACTCACCTCTTCAATCTGGCTTTTAATCTGTGATTGTTTTTGTATTATTTGACTTTAACTTTAACTATATATATTTATTTGTTGTTCTTTTCTTTTCACTATATCTGTAAAGCGTCTTTGAGCACCTGTAAAAGCGCTAACAAAATAAATCTATTATTATTATTATTATTATTATATTACTCAAGTACTGTATACAAAAACTATTTGAGGCACTTGAAGTTGACTTTAGACTGAACGTTTTTTCATTTCCTGCTACTTTTAGTCCACTACATCTATTTGATAAATGTAGATACATGGTACTTTTCAGAATAAAAATACAAAATATATTGTACTTTAAGTTAAGAGTCAAATTACGCACAGGAGGAAATCACAAGCTTAACAGCAGTATTAAAGCGCTACTGCCACATTAAAGCAATCAACTTAATAATGCATCAAAAACAGCCTACAGTTAAACAGCCTAAGCCTATTTATTTTTCTACTACTTACTTAAGCAATATTTTAAATGCATGAAAGTCGTAACTTGTAACAGAGTATTTTTTACAGTCTGGTATTACTCCTTACTAATAGTGCGATATCTGAATACTTCTTCCACATCTGAAAATTAGAATACAATTGAGGCATTGACTAACTTGGAACAGTCTGTTTTGGCATCCCCGCTGTTTGTGGTCACCCCGTGGGTTACAAATCCAGACGGCAGGCTGTCCCACTCATCAAAGGCCACACCGGTGCCCAGAGAAAAGGTGCCTGGAGCGCACTTCTTACACTGCTGTGACTGCATGTCAAGGAACTCCCCCTCACTACAGGAGAAGGCTGTCAGAGGAGGGGCAGAGAGCACGCTCTAAGTGTTTCATAAAGATGTCAACAGCATGTCAAGGAACAGATACAAGATAAAGTGTGGCAACAATTTAATATTCATACATTGTTATTGTGATACAGATTGAGGGTGTGCATTAAAAAAGGTATAAGAGTGGGACACTCACTGCACTGAGTGCCTTTAACTGGATCTGGGAGGCCTGTGCAAATGTCGGCTTTGTTGGGAACCGCCACTCTCCATCGAGCCTGGAGCGCGTCACACTCTGTGTACTCAAAGTGATAATCTGACTGCAGGGACAGAACACATGTTAGTTTCATATGGCTAGATACATTTGATCTGTAATATTTCTTTTTTTTTAAAGGCAATCACAGTTTCTTAAAGTCCAAATTAGATGCTTTGACATCTCTTGTTTTTTTTCAGTCCACAACCCAAAGATATTCAGTTTATTATGATATAAAAGAAGGAGGACTAAATGTTCTGCTAATTTTGCATGAGAAATTACAATTATTAAAAATTGAAATAGTTATAGATGATTTATACTGTTGTAGTCATCAAATAATTTAAACCTCTGGAATTTATTTTTCAAAACCAGTCAAGCCTCTTTCCAAATATAAGCCACAGCTAATATTTGCCCAGGAGGCTGTCTCTCAACAGTTGTTTTACCGTCAGTTATCAAGGATGTACTGCAACCTTAAACCAGTAAAATGCCCTTCAAGGTTTATTTACTTATAACCAAGGGGGATAGAGGCTGATTGGCCCAATCCTTCTGTAAACATGTCATTTTCAATGTTGCCACAGGACTTTTGAGACAGGAGCTCAGGTGTGAAGCTACAGCTCTATTTGTCTTGCTTTGACGTCTTTTGGAGATTCTGACTGACAAACACTGTCCCACCCGAGATGATGAACAATGATAAATGGGATGTGGCATAGTGTTAAAGGTTATCTTGTTGATCTGACACCCTCCCAAACAGTTGGTTCATTTTGGCCAACAGCAGGCTGCATTTCGTTCAAGGAAAGTCAGGCTAATCTAAGCCCACACACAGCCTTGTGGGATTAATAGTTAACAGAAACAGAGCCGGAGCAGCAGCTCCTCTGTGTTTTAAATTAGAGCTGCTACATTAGCGTTGGTTAAGGTATCAGATGAACATGTGTTTGGGGGGGAACTGATGTAAAAATGCATCCAACCTGGGATGTGCTGCAGCCTAATCGCCTCCTTTAAACAAACATGAGGAAACCAAGGCAACGGGACATAATGGCAGCTGTGCCTCATGGTCAATGGACTGGCATGGAAACTAACTGACCTCCACTTCCAAATCATCACCTGTAAACCAATACACTCAAATGACGAGACTACACCTGCCTTTTGTGATAACTTTGCCCTTTTCTGATATCTTAACTCAACACACTTAGTGTTAATGTTTTAATTATGCTGATAAAAAAGTAACGTTTTGAGTATTATCAAACTGCACTGTTGATATGCAAATGTCAATTGTCCCTTTAGAATTTTTTTTACCTGGCCTCATTATCAGACATGCTTGGTTAACCGTTTTTTTTACGTTTTCACAAATGTTACATGTGGCATATGGTTCTGTTTTTTATTAACATTTGCACCTAGAAGTATACCATAGGCCTATATGGAACCTCAAATTGTCCAATCAAATTGTGATAATATGTACAATTAAGATTAATGAATAATATTAGCTTTGGATTCATGAATATGAATAGCATTTACACATTAGTAATCATTTTGTATAAATGGCTAACAATAAAACAATGTTAATCTCCTCACCTCTTTGCACATGGGCAAATCCGTAGTAGTACAATAAGCAAAAGGCAGCCATATTAAAAGGTAGCGCAGGTGGATCTGGCCTCGATGCATCGTCGCTTGTGTCGGTGCTGAAGTGATGGAGCAGCAGAGGGTTGACCTCCGCCCTCAGGTGCTGCCGCCCGGCGGCTGGGGGCGGGGCTTCCCTCTGAGCAGGGAACAAATACTGGCAGCTGATTGGCTCTGCGGGCTGTTGAAACACTGTGGGATGACTGGTACTTTACCTGCCTTCTGCTAGCATTACCTGGGTGTTCTGTAGAAGTCCTCTGTACTGTTGTAAAGTCGTTTTCTGTAAACTATTCAACTTTTTAAACAAAACTATTTAGCACGGTTACAATTTTTTTAGCGATGGTGGCTTTAAAAAAAAAAGAAGTATTTATTTCAAGGTAGCAAGTGGACATTTTTACAAAAATACATAATAGCCTACATGTGGGGAAATAGTTCACCCTTTCTACAAGAACACAATTCTCGACTAAAAACACTCGGTTTACAAATAACCACAACATTTAAAGTTTTTTTTTCAACATCTATTCTTCCTTCAGTATTGTCATGTAGCCTAATGCTTTACATGTATTTGCAGCACTTATATGGGCTGTGCGTGCTGCTTTCATTAACCTGACATTTTTTACAAAAATATCTATTGTCAATAGAAAAATATATATAAAAAATAAACATTGGATAAACATTTCTGGTTTAATATCGACTCATGACACGTGGGAAGCAATATGTGTCAACACTCGTTTTCTTTTGAAAATTTCAACCGGAAGTTTGTGGTTGCTAAGAAACCTGGTTGTAAACATTCCTGTAGGATTAGCTCAGACGAACAGAGACAAACAGATTTGGGGGAAGTATTGTGTTTTCGTCTTGAGAGTTTCTCGTTATTAAATATGTCAGGCCGGAATCCTTTCCCCCCCACACACGGCTTCACCACCAGCGGCTCCAGCTCACATCAGGTAGGTTATCCTAGAACTAGAAACTCATATTTTGTCTGGTGAGCTTTTCGTGTTTTCTTCAGAAAACTAGTCAGACACACACCTTTGTTATATTGCATAGTAAAACATGCGAATTACCTCATATTAACCCTGCTGTAATATTACATGGGACCTGGTCCAGTTGATAATCAAACCTTGGTAAATCAGATGATAGCATTTCAAACAGCAATTTAAATATAAAAAAACATTATTTTTCTATAGGCTACAGAGTATCTAAGTGTTCCCTAGTATAATCCATCCCAAATAGTTAATACACTGTCCATGACCTGAATATGAACCTAGAGAATAATCATCAAAAATATATGCAATTTATTTGGACATTTGAAGTTAATTTTTTTTGTTCTTTTCCCTCTGCACAGAGAAAAGCATATGATAGACCGACTCACATCGCCCAAACAGAGGAGCCCTGGAGTCGCCTCTATGATAGTGACACTTGTGCCAGCTACCGACAGAGCGTTATGCATTATGAGCCTAAGGTAACCTCCAGGATGATGCATGATTGTGACCCGCAATTATGAAACAACAAAATCATTAAAAAAAATCATTTGAATGCACAACTCAATTTTCATTTTTTTACCTCAGACTCCAAAGGACAGTCTTGACTTCCATCTAAGGTCAGTTTACGATCACCACAAGGACTTCTTCTGGGGAAAGAACCGGATGCTATACCAGAAAGAGACTGTTTCTGAGGACCAGAGGTGGGTGTTTGTGAATTTAAGTTTGTGGCAGTATAACTTCCCTCTGTTGGCAGTGGCATTTCAACTGTTGAAAAGGTGGACTTTCTAAATTAAGTGTTACCATTTATTTTAAATGTCAATTTACAGGAAGCAGGGAAACTCAAAGAAGGACATGCTGGAGAAGGACCAAGGGGACGAAATCAGAGTGTGGGTTGATCCACAAAGGCGCTCCATTTACAGCATTAAGTGAAGGTCAGCTGAACTTCACTTATATTGTCATACTAAGAGAATCTTAATCCAACCAAACCCACCGATTCTGGGAGGAATCTGGCTTTGTGTAAAGCGAGGTGTGTTCCAAATACCAACAGTGCCCTGTCTTTTCCTCCACAGGCTTATTCAAACAAGGGCTGCACCAGGGACAGTGATGGCAGCTTCTATTTGTACCTTTAAGCTTCCTGCACTATTATCTCCATCTGCTTCCAACATGAAAAAAAACGTAAATAAAGGTGGTTCTTTAAAGTGAAGTCGTTCTGTGTCTCTGTTGCAATACCCAACATTGAAAACTGAATACTTAAATGTGATTCGTTGTAAGTTAACTATGTGAACAAATGTAAGCCTTCACACTGATAATGTGGCAAAAATGTGCATCTTTTATTTTACATTCGACATTTAAAGAATATTCTTCATTTATTTAAACATAAACAAAAAGACTGAAACAGCTGAATATTTTATAAAAATATACAAAACGACGATTAAACCTTAATATACTTCAATAAATGATTAACCTATTTATTTTTTCATCTGTATATTTGGAATTCAATGAACAGGAAACAGTTGTAATCATGTAGGTCACGTCCGATGATGGATTCATGGCTTAGTTTTTCGTCTGAGACTGCGCCTGATGAAGGCCTTCTCGTCCCATTGGTTGGGAGCAAGCATTTGGCTGCCGTTATGGACACAAAGGACGGTCATCTCATCAGCGTACTGAAGATTCTGCAACAGCTGGAAAAAAAACAGCAAAGCAAACGTTCAGGAAAAATGAAAAGCACAGGTCGGTCATACAATAGAGATTCACACAAATCATATTAAAATTGCAATCACCTATTCTACCACTTGGAGGCAGTAAACAGCTGCCTACACATGAAGTAGATACAGACCAACATGAGCATTTATTTTGAGAAGTGCTTAGGGCATTTTGAAGAGTGTAAGTCCAATAATCACTGTCTTAAAACTTAAAGACCCAAGGATTTGTGTCCCTAACTACTCAAGGAAATATCTGGCTCCAAGCTGCCATCTAGTTACTAACGATTTTTGTTTAATGTTTGGCGCTGTGCAAGTAGTTTACAAGGGCTGGAAACAGCTGAAGGTGACAATGATAATAACAGTGACAGTCAACCAAATCACTACATTTGCTGAACGAGAGTAGATGGTTATGTAGAGTTGGGGGGAAGTCTAGTTTGTCTCTATCATCATAATTCCACAAGCATACAAACGGTTATATTAAAGCGCTGGGATGAAGGGTGGGGGGGCCCTTTTCTGCCAGGAAAAGACTACTTGGACACATGCCTTTAGAACAGGGGTGGGCAAACTATTTGGCTCGGGGGCCACTATGAGTTTTAAATTTGACAGACGGGCCGGGCCAGTAGCAGATCGATAAAAAAATATTTAGCTGTCCACTCCTCATTATACACTCGGCACTCAATGTTGACTTTTCTTTTCTTTGGTCCACTCATTGTTACAGATGCGGGTTCAAAGGTGAATTATTGCGTCATTGCGTCATCGTTTGGGTCATGACGTAAACATTTACGTGCCTTCTTATGACCCACACAGCGTTTTACGTCGCTGATTTTCTCCGCAACACCGCTCACAACAACATCAATAGAGGATTGCGTCGGGTAGTTTTTAATCATACAAAGCCAGATTAAATTAAAGAACTACTTCTCCAACCTTGTACCATTCTCCAGAGTGCCGTGGAGCATTGTTTATTAATGTGGTTCAGCTGCATTACTGCCCGCTGCAGTGCTGCTCGTCTACCGGAGTTTATTCTCCCGTTAACTCGCGGCAGCGGCCGCCCTAAAGTTTTCATTGTCTGACTGTCACACAAGCAGCTGATAAATATCCCCCATCCCCATCAGTGAATGTGTTTTAGTCTGAACGCTGTTTGGCATCACAACGCTGTTATGAATGTTTCTCTGGCATTCTACAGGTGATGTTAGCATAGCAACCGAAGCTAATCAGACTATCTTGACTACTTGTTGCTATCATATTGTGGCACAAGCCGTTTTCTACACGCATATTTTACCGGCGTAGTTTTCGTTATGATTTTACTTGTGATGGCCACATGTAGCCCATGTATTTATTCCATCCGATAGCTGTAATAATATAAAACAAAAGGAAAACGTCTGCCTCTTCACAATGATCAATAACAGTGAACGGATGGTCATTAAAGTAAGGTAAAATAAACAGAATCACACTAAGCCTGGTTAGTGTTGCCTGACTTTATATAAGTGTTTTTTATAAGTGTGTGGTCGCGTTCTAGTCACTTTGCTCAGCGCTACTGCTTGTTACAACCTGTATTCGCCGTACTCGCCATGAACTGTTATTGCTGCTCAGGTTAATCTCGACCCCCTCCAATGTAAGCGTGACGTATTTGGTTCTTGGATCTTGCCGGGTTGCCGAGTGGGGCCAGCTGAGAGAATAGACCAGACTCCAGCAAAGGTAAATTGTGTCTAGAGTGCGCCATCTAGTGGGATCAACTGAAATGCCGGGTATTGCAGGAAAAAGGCAAAATGAATGCGGTCTTTACTATAATTTGGACAATTTTGTACCAATATTCGGCGGGCCGGATTCACAAGCCCAACGGGCCGTATATGGCCCGCGGGCCTTAGTTTGCCCATGCCTGCTTTAGAAGGTACAAATACTCACTTTGGGTGTAATGAAAAAGTACTGCGATGTCGTCTCTTTGCAGGCTGTGCGGACCACAATGTCAAAGACTCTTCTCTCATTTATAGGATCCATTCCCTACACAACAAAGATAAATAGTCTCAATCACATCCAAATACTCAAGCAGGTGGCAAATAATCGTGGCTTTAAATGTTTGTAGGCTTGCAAAAAATATTTTAACGTAATACATTTCTTGAACACAGGAGGAGTAGATAAACTCCATGTCTGTGTTAATGTTTTGTGTATATGTAGAAAAAGAAAAGAGCATAATATACATGATTGTGTCTGCATATAATGTGTGTTTGTGTGTGTGTGAGAGAGCGCTACCTGGTTGATCTCGTCCACCACCCTGAAGGGGCAGCGGTTGAGCTCCTGCAGGGCCATGAGGTACAGCATGGTGGAGACGCTGCGCTCTCCTCCGCTCTGATGGTACGCCGTCAGCTCGTGGAGCTGAGTGCTGCTGTGGAACTTCACACGGATTCTGATCCCATACTTGTCGTACTCCTCCTGATAGGAAAGACAGCTTTTAAATGGGGTGACAATTACAATTCTTATGGCCCAATTACAACCAAAAATAAAATACCATAAGATTTGTTAAGATATGAACACCATCTTGTGTAAATTAATAAATTGAGCAATCTATATAAGCCTCCTTGAATGAATGGAAACAATCACTTAAATTGTTTTTCAACCCTTAATGTCAGTGTGTGTGTGTTGTTGCTTTTGTGTCATCATGTACCTCGTTCTCTGAGTGCAGATCAACCTCTCCTGCACATTGCATGGAGCGGAAGAAATCACTAAACTTCACATTTATCTGTTCCACCAGCTGCTTCAGAGGGTTCAGCCAGCGCTCCTTAGCCTGTGAGACACCAGCAGAAATCCTTACACACACATTTATTCACAGGATGGTCATTCTGTCCTGCAACAAATCAGACGCTGAACTATATTTCTTTAAAAAAATCATCCGAGAGGAGTCATTGCATTGACATGTCACGTACCTCTGATATGTTCTGTCGGTATGAGGTCAGGGCATTGCTCTTATCTTCCAGCTCTTTCTCCAGATCTTTGTTCTCCTGCTCTCTCTTTTTGTACTCATCCACAACCTCCAAAGAGAAGAAGCAAATCATCATGCAGGAGAAACATGCACCCTCTTAGGGTAAACGCCACAACATATTCAGAACAGACTGTGTGTGTATATATATATATATATATATATATATATATATATAAATAAATAATCAGACACACAGAACAATCTGGCCGAAAAAGTATGAAAGCAGAGAAATTGCAAAGAATTAGATAAATACTAAGAATAAGAATAAGTCATTAAAACAGAACACCATTCTATATTGTCCTCATCATTGCCATCTACATAAAGAATAAATAAATATTAACAGCATTGTACAGATTAAATAAATATTAACAGCATTGTACAGATTCAAGTTTTCTGTCGAGATTAAAAACCCTCAGTTGTGCTCTTACATTTTCACTGAGGCCAGTGAAGCACTCCGCTCTGGACCGCTCCTCGTTCAGCATGGTGTCGATATCGTCCAGCGTGTCAGGCAGATTACTGAAAGCCTGCATTAACAAAACAAAAAAGAGCCATGAATATTTTACCAACTTATATTTATAATATGAAAAAGGATAACATTCCAAAGAAGGAAATGTCTAGTTTCATTCACAGTATTTTTACATTACATGTTACTTGTTAGACGCTTTTATCCAAAGCGACTTGCATACATTCAATACTGTGGGCAATCCCCACAGGAACAATTTGGGGTCAAGTGTCTTGTCCAAGGACACAGCGGAATGTTGACTGATTCGGACCAGTGCCCCCGTGATCTGAAGATCAGCGCACTATCCACTGAGCCACAACCTCCCCATTTCCCCTAGGTTTACTGCCTTGGCAGGGTGCTGCTTGGGTACCCCCCCAAGGGGTGGGGTGCCCCGAATTTTTTTTGTTGAATTTTGAATTCTTTTTTATCCTCTGGAGCAGAGAGAGGAGCTGTGGATTATTGTTATTGTTATCGTACAGTGTGAGACTTACCGTTGAGCGGCCCGACCAAGCAAGGAGGCAGAGGCAGAGAGTTCAAATATAACCCGGTGTGGGCATTTATTTCTCATGTGTGGGGGTAGTGGTGGTCTAAAGGTGGGCTGAAGATCGGAAGGTTGTGAGTTCAAATCCCGCCAGGAACACCACCACTAGTGTGCCCTTGAGTAAGGCACTTAGCCCTTACAGCCCTTACGGCATGTCCACACAGCGGCGTGCGTTGAAAGCTTCACCATTCACTTGAATGGGGTGACGTCACTTTTCGCCGAACTGCATTGCGGGAAGCGAAGCGGAGCTTTGCTGACGTGGCTCGCTGCAAAAGTTGAGAAATGTTCAACTTCTGAAGCTTTGGTGGAAGCGTCAGCCAATCAAATTCCGTTTATGCAGCCAATCAAACCGTGTGTATGCTGGGAGAGACACACCGCAGGTCATTTCCTCATATTCCAAAAAATGGAGCAAGCTTCAACGCACGCCGCTGTGTGGACGGGCCGTTAGTTACTCCAGGGAGAATGTCCCTGTAATTGGTAATTGTAAGTCGCTTTGGATAAAAGCGTCAGCTAAATGATTACATTACATTTCATTTAGCTGACGCTTTTATCCAAAGCGACTTACAATTACCAATTACAGGGACATTCTCCCTGGAGTAACTGAAGGCTAAGTGCCTTACTCAAGGGCACACTAGTGGTGGTGTTCCTGGCGGGATTTGAACTCACAACCTTCCGATCTTCAGCCCACCTCACTATCCATTAGACCACCACTATCCCTGAAATGAAATGTAATGTAATGTGCACATAGTCACCAGCCTCAATATGACTGTCCTCCCTGAACACAGTCAGCAGCCACAAGGATCTCCCACACACTACCTGTCCACTGACAGGGAAAACAGAGCCTAAATACACACACACTAATCAATCAACAAGACACAGGTGAGGGGGGAGGAGACAACACAGGGCACCAGGTGAACACATTCAACAACAATGAAGCTACACAACCCGTAACGGAGGCCGAGATCTATGGGCCCAGAGATCACCTCCGTGACATACAGTAACAAAGTATTTGTACATTAAAAAGTAATAAAATACAGTGTTACACTGTACTGTATTACTTTTCCCTTCTTATCATGTAGCCTACACTTCTTCCTTTCATTGATACATTTAAATCACCTGACTACAGCATATAACATACCTGCTGCAACACTGTGCTGCTGCTGCTTCTCTCTGCCTCATCCTCTATTGCTGGAGGCAGCTCCACCTCAAGGTTCAAGGTTCTTTATTGTCAATCTGACATAGCTACAGAGTAATTATGTAGTTGAAAATCTTATGTCACAGGCTTCTCCAACAATGCAACATAATAACATAATAACAATAAGAGCAAGAGCAATACAAAAAGAATAATAGTTATAAAATAAAATAAAGTGATGCAGTACGAGTCTATATACAAGTTATTGGAATGATATATATATATATATATATATATTAGGTATTAGATACATACTACTGAGTAGCAGATGAATGTTTGAAGTTGTTTCAACAGTTCAATTTTTTAACAGTCTCACTGCCCGCGGGAAGAAACTGTCTCAGAATCTTCTTGTCCTTGCCAGGATGCTGCGGTAACGTCTGCCAGACGGCAACAGAAAGAACAGTTTGTGGCTGGGGTGATGGGGGTCTTTGATAATCCGTAGTGATTTCTTCCTGAGCCGCTGGGAGTAAAGGTCCTCCATGGATGGCAGCTCCGTCCTGGTGATGTGCTGTGCAGTTTTCACCACCCTCTGTAAAGCCTTACGATCGAGGTCGGTGCAGCTGCCGTACCAGGCCGTCATGCTGCCAGTCAGGATACTCTCTATCGTGCACCTGTAGAAGTTGCAGAGTATCCTGGAATCCATTTTGAACCTCCTCAACCTGCGGAGGAAGAAGAGCCGCTGTCGAGCTTTCTTGGTGATGGTGGTGGTGTGAAGAGACCATGTCAGGTCCTCAGTGATGTGGACACTGAGGAACCTGAAGCTGCTGACTCTCTCCACCGTAGTCCCATTAATGGCGATGGGGGCGTGTCCCTCTCCCTGCTGCTTCCTGTAATCCACAATCAGCTCCTTTGTTTTGCTGACGTTGAGATGGAGGTTGTTATCCTGGCACCAAGATGTCAGGTTTTCAACCTCCTCTCTGTACGCCGTCTCGTCATCGTCTGTGATCTAGCCGATGACGGTCGTGTCATCAGCAAACTTCACGATGGTGTTGGAGCTGTGTGTGGCCACGCAGTCGTGTGTGAACAGGGAGTAGAGGAGAGGGCTGAGCACGCAGCCTTGAGGGGCACCGGTGTTTAGAATCAGGGTGGAGGATGTGATGTTTCCCACCCGCACTGCCTGGGGTCTGCCCGTCAGGAAGTTCAGGATCCAGTCACAGAGGGCGCTGTTGAGCCCGAGGTCTCTGAGCTTGATGGCCAGCTTGGAGGGCACAATGGTGTTGAATGCTGAACTGTAGTCAATGAACAGCATTCTCACATATGTGTTCCTGTTCTTCGGGTCCAGGTGTGAGAGGGCAGTGTAGATGGTGAGGGCTATGGCGTCGTCTGTGGACCTGTTTGCTCTGTAGGCAAACTGCAGGGGGTCCAGAGATTCAGGGAGGGAGGAGGTGATGAATGATTTGACTAACCGCTCAAAGCACTTCATTATGGTGGAGGTGAGTGCTACTGGGCGGTAGTCGTTGGGGCAGGTGATGATTGTCTTTTTCGGGACAGGAACGATAGTGGAATGTTTGAAGCATGTGGGGACTACAGACTGCAGCAGGGACCTGTTGAAGATGTCTGTGAACACCTCTGCCAGCTGAACTGCACACACCCTGAGAACACGGCCAGGGATGCCATCAGGTCCAGGAGCCTTGTGTGGATTAACCCTTTTAAAGGATTTACACACATCTGCCCTATTTAAAACAAAAGGGCAGTGTAGCTCCTGGTCTATCTGTACCTCCACAGCCCGGCTGCTCTCAAAGCGTGCAAAAAAACTGTTCAGCTCATCTGGGAGAGATGCGCACGCAGACACTCCCGCAGCACCCCCCGCTGCTCCTTTGTAGTCAGTCATTGTTCTTAGTCCCGCCCACATATTCCTAGTGTTACAGCCTTTGAAGTCAGATTCCACCTTCTCTTTGTACTGTCTCTTTGCATTTTTAATTGCTCTCCGGAGATCATACCTAGACTTCCTGTACTCCTCCAAATCTCCCGCTCTGTGCGCGATAGTGCGCGCTTTCAGCTTGCAGCGCACATCGGAGTTTATCCAGGGCTTTTGATTTGGGAATGTCCGTACAGAAACCTCATCTGATCTCTGATATGAAAGCAATCGTGTTATGATCATATTGAGCTATTGGTGTGAGTCTAACATTAAACAAGCAGTCTGCTTGTCATACATTGCTGACGATACATTTTAAGAGGCAATTTGTTGAGTCACTGCCGCTAAATGCCGGTAGCATCAAGCTAGCAAATCCTGCATTAGCCTCACATCAACAGGTGTAGACAGAACATCCAATTATCCTGAGCTAATTTACTGAATAAACCAACTCGCATCTTCTGTCTTTTTTTTCACCCAACTCATTAGACTATTCTTCTGCTGGCGTTTCATTGTTGTTTTCTGTCAAATTCAATACTGTAGTTCAAAACCGCGGTACCTGCTCACCATCTGTGAGCTATTTTTAGAATGCGCACGCTACGTTCGTTGTCGTCGCGTTCGCGCGCGTCCACCTGGGCAGGCTGTGTGTGTCCTTCTCCTCCGTGACGATAACGGCTTGAGGTTAAAAAATAATAATAAACACATTTGAAACCTTCAGGCGGGGGCTCCGTTGGCAGGGCACAGCGCTCCGCCAAGACAATGGTAGGGGAAACACTGAATAGTATAATAAAGACTGTAATCCACACTAACTTTATGCAGCTCTTGCGGTAAGGACTCGTCATGCTGCATCCTGCAGATGGACTTGGCTCTCTTCATCAGGCCTTTGCCCTGTTCTGTCAGCTGAACCTTCCTTTGCTCCAGACGGATGCATTTTTGCTGCAAGAACAATCTCAGTTAGCAGACATCAGATATACAGAACAGGGAGGAGATTGACAAACAAACAAAATGAGTGACTTTGTAGATGAAACCCAAGAAATTAAGCCTTTTTCTAAACTTCCAAAACGTTCTTCAAACTCTATATACAAAAAGGTCTAAGTCAGGGGTGTCCAAACTACGGCCCGGGGGCCAAATGCGGCCCGCGGGACATTTCAATCGGCCCTCAGCAAATTAAAAAAGTATAATGGAATACGGCCCACAAATGAAACTGAACAATATAGATGTTTTTTATTTTAAAGAAAATTCAGATTTGACATAGTAAAAAACTGTAAATTATAGTGTCCGTCCAAAAATTATTTTTTACTTATAGTGAAAACTACCCTTGGATGATGGTAAGGTAGACTAAAAGCTTTAGGAATCCAAAGTACAACATATAATAAGTACCCTGTATCAAGATTGATGCAAAAGTGACATTTGACCTTTTTAGAGAGGTTTAGCCAAAAACACTCCACCTCTGAGGTGATTTGGGTGGAAATGTTTTTTCTTTCATATCTCTGGAACCCATTGGTCGATTTTGATGGTTGACACCTCTTTCTGACCGTTAGAGCCAATATAGTTGAAGGGGGAGTCCCCCACACACACTCATTGTGAAAAAAAAGGTGGGGGCTTTGCGCATGTAATTTTGTATTAGAGTGAAGCTACAGTCTAGCTCTGACATCGAGAAACGTAAAAGCATGGATTATCCGTTTTATTGCTCATGGATTATCAGAAATAATTTCAAAGGGACACAGACACATTGGATTAACCTATGGATTAACTTCAGCAGCGTTTTTATCGTTTTAATGCCATTGAAGACCACTTTGGAGAGACTACAGAGCCAAGGTAAGAATGTTAGCATTTTTAGCTACCTAGCGTCACCTGTTTTGATGTCTGTTTTTGTTTATAACGTCACAAATTTGTATAATTCCGTGGTAATGAGGGTACCCATCGATTCTGTGTCACCTCACGATGTGAATCGGTGTCATGTATGTGGAGAAAATATAAATAATAAGGTTTTGTGAGTGATTTTCGGTGCAGTAATCTGTTAGCATTTTTCGCTCGTTGCTAATTCAGAGGCTCAGTGTTAGCATTGTGGGTTTTCTTTTGAAAAAAAAATTAAAATGATCAGTTAGATGAGTTTCTTCCCGTTACATGGATATAAAACATTCATAGTTTATTAAATGAACATGCCCTCAGACACTGTTTCCTGCAAGATGTTGCGGGAGAGCCCCGGTACCGGGGTCTCTCAGGCTTTAACAGGTTAACTTATGAGGCACTAATGGCGCATTTCCATTGCAGCGCGTAGCTCGCTTTAAGCGTGCCGTGTCGTGCCGTCCCCTTTTTTGGTTGTGCTTCCACTAGGCCTCGTTCCGGCGCGGCACGGCGCGGGGCCACTTTTTCCCCTCTTTTCTGGCCCTAGAAAATTGTGGTTCTATCGGGGCCAACAAACAGGGCTGAGTCGGGCTGAGTATGCTAAACTAGAGAGAGGAGCGCTGGCAAGAGGGCTAGAACTACAACAAGATGGACATATTTGACTGTGATTTAATTGTAATACACGTTTCAAAATGATGCCGAAGTAACAACATACTGATACCGGTTAGTAAAAACCATGAATTAATGCTTTGTCAAGTCTGCACAGACGGCAGGCGAAAAACCTTTTAAAATTCGTGTTTTTCTAGATGGAGATTGGCTAAGCTAACGCAGTATATGCCCCGACCGTCCACACTCACAACAACGGCCTATACAGACATAAATAAAGCAGCGACTGTATTCACCATGACACAGACAGTCTGTGGTTTGTACTTGTTTAACTTTTGTCGAGTTTCTGAACATATATAAGGAGCTGTGAGCTCTGAGTGCTCACAGCTAACGGCTGTGTTGTGTTTCTGGATTTCTCATTGAAGATGATGTCACGGCTCCGCCTACACTGCGTTACTATAGTAACTACCCCAGTTCCTAAACTGTAATGGAAGCGCAGCATGAAGTGAGTCGGCCCTGTTAAGGCCCAACGCGGCCAAGCCGTACCGAGCCGTACCGAGTGTGGCCGAGGCCGACCGTGTAGTGGAAATGCGCCATAATAAACCTCACCTCTAGTGAGTGGCCCAGCCCTTCAAATATTTTTCTGTATGTGGCCCTCGGTGAAAAAAGTTTGGACACCCCTGGTCTATGAACCGCTTACATCAGTGGTCTGGAGTTCAGAGGCGCTTTCTCGACAATCATGCTCCATCTTGCTTTTCTGCGCCATCAGCCCCACCGTCTCCAGATTCAGGTACACCTTCTCCATGGTCAGCTTCACCTTCAGCTACAGACCATGGAGAGACATAGAGCCAGACATTTAAAAAGACAACATTTAGGCAGAGAAAGGGTTTGCACTTATAAAGCAAAACATCAAAAGTTATATCTATAAAAATCAATCACAATATAAAATGGTAGACTGTTTTTAGTAATCAGTTAAGTCTGATACGAGGTAGAGTTCAGTTGCAATAGAGCTTGAAAATGCAGAAAGGATACATTCAGAGACAGAAGGATGTAACATTGTTGAAGTCATTCACAACACAACATAAACAAATCTAAATGTCAACCTACCAAAGCTATGGAAATCAGCTTAGCTATCAGTTCATGGTATACAAACCTTAATTTGCTCCATAATCCCTGCGACTAGGGAAACTTTCTGCTGATTGACAGCTGCAACTTTCTCCTTAGTCTTCTCTTCAATCGTCTGCAGGTCAATGACATTCTGCTCCATCTGCCTCAGACTAAACGCATGAAAAGTTGGAGTTAAACCAATTCAAAAAGTATTTGCATTGACCAAACAGACAAATCACTACAAAGAAAATATTCCAATCAAGTCACATTTCCAAGGACAACAGCCTGTTGGGCCTTTTGTTGATTTTTTAGACAGACTTGCCTGTCCTGTTTGGAACTGATCTTCTGCTCCAGTTGTCTCTTTTTGCTTTTCACTTCAGAGAGGTGCTTCTTCTCTGCCAATAACTCGTTGTCACGCCGATCCAGTGTGACGGCTTCCGCCTGCAGGGCCTTCAGCCGCTCATCAATGTCCCGTAACTTGGACTCACAGTCCTAGTCACAGTGGGGGTAAACAGCTAAACTCTCACATATAGAAAAAACAGATGTAGGGAATATTGGATTTAAAAAGGGTCAGGGCTATGCTTCCACGTGTGTTCCCATGTGTCTCCCTTACCTTCATCTGCTGCTCCAGCTGCAGTTTCTCTTTAGCGTCCACAGTGATGGTGAGGTACTGAGAGGGGTACACTGCAGAGTTACTGGTGCTGATCGCGTTGGAGTAATGGGACCTCTTCAATGTGTACCTCTCCTCTGTTGTGTATAACACCTTGAGGTAGGGCTCCTCAATCACCTGTCAGAAAGACAAATATTGACAAAGAACAACTCCTTTTTAATTCAAGAGTATAAAACAAAATCTGGACTTCAATGTTCGAGCTTGGAAATATCAGGAGACAAAATACAACTGTCAGATTTAAGTTTACCAGTGCAAAATACAGTAAACTCAAAAAGGGTAATAAAATGCGTCATACATTGACACAAGTAAATTAAACTTTAACAACATTTTTTTGACATCTAATTCAATAATTCAACTTTTTGACATCTCTGAAAGGCACAGGAGCAAAATGTATATTTAAATTCAGTATGATTTTTATGGGTGGTGCCTTTTTAAAGACTTCACTGACACATTTAAGCTCAATCCACTCCGTTTATCTTGATATCCGACCTTTTGTTTCACCAAAGAGGTTGGATTTTAAATCACATTCACGTCCCTAATATTCTGCTGTGGTGGTTTGAAAACTTGAAAAATGTGGGAAAAGGAACGTACCCTTTTGATCATGGCTTTAGTTTGTTCATTGCCCACCGGGACGTCGTGCACCTTGTACTGTTGGCAGAGGTAACTCATCACCTCATCAGGCGCGTCAAACATCTCCCGAAGGTAGGTGAAGAACCCAAAATGCCTACAAGAAATTATGGAAATGTTGCATTACTAAACTAAAGACAAATATGCATGTTGATCTTATCAAGGTCATTACGCCTCGGATAAAATTCATATTTTCTCACTTTAGGGACTCAATATTTCTAGACGACTGTTTATTAGAACACGACACCTCTGGAGCAGAAATGGCGTTCACCCTCAGCTTCATCTTGTCACGGACCTGAGGGGTGGGACAGAAATGTTTAATTTGAAAGGGTAACAGCAAACATGGGATTTGTCGGATAATTTACACACAGAAGGATTTTTTTTTTTACGACAGCCATAGTCTGCTCTGACCTCTTTCATGAACTTCTCCATGTCGACCTTTCTCTGGAAGACAAAAGCCCGCAGGTCCGCGAAGGAGATGTGGTTCTCCACATACTTGGCAAAGCGAGGATCTTTCACATTGATCTGAAAGATAAAGAAAGGGTTAGCATGTGGGCTTTGCAAATGATACAAAAAGCATCACAACCTTATCAGATCACAAATGTTAGCCAAAGCTGAGACAAGATCCCCAATTTCAAAGCACTGAAAAAATGATTTTTTTATCCCAACCGTTAGCATTAATCATAAGGGTTTTATTCCGTCAAACTTTATTCCCCCATTTAGATTTCAAAAGCTATATTAATTTAATACATGATTTATAATATGCTGTATTGTAGTTGGACACATATCCAAGAACACTTTGTACAGTTGTTATATATGTACAAGGATTTTGAACAATTATCTTATTCCAACTGCTTTTTACTATAAAATGAACCACATGGTTGACTTACGACCAGCATCATTGGCTCATGGACATTCCCTTCAAAGAGTTGTTTGTTCTGTCTGAGCCACTGGATGGCAGCGTGTGTGTCCCTGTGGCGTCCTTTCAGCTTCTCCTCTTTGACATTCATCATGTTGTTCATGTCCCTGAGCTTTCTCTCCAACACTAGCAATTTGAATAAATAAACACCATGTAAACGAACCACATGGTGATGTATGTGTGCTAGCAGCATCTTATGTAAATAACTAGATATTTGTTTACGGGTTCAGATGACACTACTGGTGGGAAACTCACTTTTTGTTTCAGCATGGAGGTTGTCCTTGTCCCTGCGTAGGTCGGACTTCTCCCCTTCGATCTTGGTTCTCTCCTCTCGGATTTGCCTCAGCTCGATATTGACGGCATTGATCTGCGGCGTCACGTCGGGTTGGTCTGTAACTTTGGCGAGCTCTGCCTTAAAGGCGTCAATGGTCCGCCTGGTGTTGCTGATTCCCTTCTGGTGGTCTGCCGCTTCAAACTGCTTAATCTTTTGTGATTGTTTAATATTTTCAATCTGTAGGGAAGAACGGAGAGAACTATCATTAATTATGAACACCACATCTGCAGCTTAAGTCTACTTTATTCTGTGAGAAACACACACGGCACAGGAAAAGTCAACAAAATAGACTACAGACTTCATGAAGTACTGCATCATAAAGATGAGAAATAATTTGTATATAATGCAAATGGAAACTCTTTTTATCATCTCTTCTTATTTATACAATGAATGTGGGGTTGTAATAGTAGACATAAAATAGATATTTTATTATCAGATTTGAGGGGCTGAACGTTTCCTTTCTCTTTCTAAGTCCCACCTCTTTGTTTTTTCGATCCAGCTGATCCTTTTTCTGATTGCACTTCAAAGAGGCTTCTTTGATGGCATCAGTCTGAAAAATAAGATGCTCACAGTTATCATCATTCATAATATCAATCATTAAATGCAGGTAAAAATTGTGCTGTAGAAAGAATGCTAAAAACCTTCTAGCCTCTCGTTTTAATGATGTTAAACATACTAAGAATATATTTTATTGTAACCTTGGTAAAGATTTGAAAAATAAATCCATGTTTAATGTAAAGTATATAATAAACATGTCCCTTCACACGAGACCGCTCGACCCGCTGGAGACGTTGTAGTACATATGCCGGGCCTATAAGTGGCGCTGTACTTCCGCCACAAAATACACCAAAAGCAGCGAAGAAGACCCCCGAGCATGGTTGCCATGGTTGCCTGGTTGCCCTTCTGTTTATTCTCCGCGGTGGATTTAACAACATGTAGTTCATGTAGTTCTCCATGTCCACTTGTTGCTGATGGTTGTGGTAGAGAAGCTGTAGATTTTGCACTAACATCATGCTACAGATGTGAGCAGCAGAGGTGGGGAGAGGCGGGGCTATGGCTTCATCATTATCAGGAAAATGATCGTATAGGACAGGGGTGCCCAACCAGTCGATCGCGATCGACCGGTCGATCGCGGGGAGATTCCCAGTCGATCGCGAGATGTGTCTAAAAATAGAACAACAATATTCTGTTTTATCGTTAATGTCCTATAACATAATCTTCCTGTGCCAGAATAATGCACTTGAACGCATCAAAGCTTTGTGATTGGCCGGCGTGACCCCATGTGTCGGGGCGTGGCTGGTAGACAGTGGGCACTATTTCGCTGACGTTGTCCGTGTCAACAGGAGTGACAGTCCGCACACACACAAGACCGCAATTATGGCAGAAGCAACAAAGCCCAAAATATATAATTTTCACTCCGAGTGGGAGGATGATTATTTTTGTATCTATTCCAATTCAAAGTCTATCTGTCTCATCTGCAATGCGAGCGTGGCTTTATCGAAGAAGGGTAATTTAGGAGCGGCATTTCAAAACAGTGCACAAACGCTACGAGACGGAATTCCCTCCTAATTCTGCCCTACGCTCCCAAAAGGTGAGGGACCTGAAAGGACAGCTAAATGCACAGCAGTCCATTTTCACCAGGCCCAACAACAAGAGCAAGGCTGCTACCATAGCATCTTATCGTGTCAGTCACGTTCTTGCGAAACACATGAAGTCTGTCAAAGACGGCGAAGTTGTGAAAGAAGCATTCCTGGAGGCTGCCGACGCGCTTTTTGGGGACAGTAAAAATAACAGTAGCATTTCAACAGGTTTTTGATATAATAAAAACTCAAGTTAGATACCGTTATTAATCACCTGTACGTTTTAGTTTGTTTGAACTTATTCATTATAATGATTGTATAAGAATGCAAACATTAAGATCTGTTCTGTTTAAATTGATTATAGTCTATTATCAATTCAGGTTAAGAAACTAGTGTTGCTTGCATCCTATTAAAGGCATTTATTTTTATACTCTACTAAAATGCAACAAAAAAAGGGTTTGATTCTATTAATTGTGTCTTTTTTATTGCACTTTGGCAGCAGATTCCTGTGTAGCTTCAGATCCGAGTTGTCTTATTAGTAAGCCTAATTTATACTTTTGTAGCAACACTATTTTTATATAATGGCAAAGAAAGGGTTCAGAGTCTTTTCTTTTTTTCCTGTGTCATATGTGGCAGCATGTTCAATGTTTCTTGAAAACATTACCCAAGACAGCGCCCCGCCAAGACAATGGTAGGGGAAACACTGGAGTCAGTGAGAGCTAACCCCTTTCTGCTACATTGATACGGACAGATACAGACAGATCATATGTATAAAGCAGGCTGAATGATATCTACAGAAAATGACAAACAATATTTCTTCTTTTAGTATTGTGCTACAGCCCCTATCAGAAAGTAAAAACATTTGCATATTCACCTTAGCCTTTATTTGGGCCTCAGAGGGCTTCAGCTGGTTTTCAATCAGCTGAATCTTCTTCAGCATGGGCGCGTGCGCTTGCTTCAGGGCAGAGAGCTGCTTTTTGGCTTCGTCTCGCTCTTTCTTCACTCCCTCAAGCTCCTTACGGGTTGTCTCATACTCCTAGTATTCAAAATGGGAAGAATCAGAGCTGACACAGACCAAATCATTCAGTTGGACTCTGACTGCAAACTTGATTTAATTGTTTGTCCCTTTTGTACAGAGTTTAATTCCCACCACTCACCACCCATGCTTTCTTCTGGTCAAGTAACACAATCACGTCCAGGTGTCTCTTCTTTTCGTAGTAACGCTTCACATCATGTTTGTTCCTCTCATTCCTCTGCTTGGCCTTCTCCAGGAAACTGGCCTTCTCCTTCACAATGTTCTAACAGGAATCAAATCAGAACTTTTATATGAAGTTAAATAATGGATGGGTAAAGTGCGTTATATTTTGTAAAAACAATGGCGTCAAACAGACAAACAGAAGAAGTTGGAAGTCTTCCTAGATGTTGATAGAAAGAGACTTTCAAACTAAATTTGACAGCTCTCTGAAATAAATAAATTATTCAACAATAATGTGTACCTCCAGTTCCCTTTCTTTGGTGCGGAAGTTTTTGAGCTCACAGTGGTATGTGAACATCTCGGGTGGTCCCACTGACTTCTCTGTTGCCTCCAGCAACTCAATCTTGGACATCTTTGCAAACTCTCCCACTTTTTCCTGTAGGGAAGAAACCAACATCATCAACGGAAAGATGAAAACAGTGAACAAAGTGTTATGGAAGTCACACTTTAGTCTTGATAGAACTTTTGAGGTTTCCATATGTGGACCACGTCTGCAAACTGACACATTGATGAAATATTGAAAGCTATTTTTAGAAAAGAGAACACCAGCCACCCTAAAGAAATACTTTTTACATAAATGTTGAGCAGCAACAACTTTAAATGACACAAACATACCTGAGGCAGAAACTGGCAGAGGTTGCCGACTTGGATTTGCAGAGCCTTGACAACTTCTTCCACTGCTTTCTGGCTGCAGATCTTTCCATCGAGCATCCACAGTGACTGGTTGTTCTCCACATGGATCTCTCTGTGTATCACTACATTACCCTCAGTCTTGTACCTGGAACAATAACAACATTTTGATTCTACAATCAGATACATTCACAATAAAAGTATATATATTTGCTATGGACAATCTGCAATAAATGCACATTTTATGGACAATCTTGCATCAAAGTTATTGATATTGAAGTGACTGTTATTTTGTATATATTGATTGTTGTGTTTTTTTTTATCTTAATGTGTGCATATGTGTCCGTTGATTGTGTATATAGGATATACATATTTGTATACATATCTGTATACATATCTGTATTACTGTATGATTTTACATTCGGGATTGTTAGAAACGTCATTTCGATCTCTGTCTGTAAACACAAACTGAGTAAGATTGACATTAAAGTTGACTTTGATATATATTGCAACTAATTTCTCAAATACTGAATTGTGTTTTCAAAATGAGTAATGTATTAATTTTTTTTTTAAATCGGAATTAACACAAATGTGTAATCTAATGGAATAACAGTGTGTGTTTGCAAACTCTTTCACATAACTTACAGTTCGATCTCAATGAATCCTTTATTGCAGCCGCGTTTGACATAGAGCCCAACCTACAGGGGAAAAAAACATAACGAATAGTAAAATACAAATAGTAACATACAAATCATAAGAATTGTAACTTATTTGTGAGCTAAAATAATTGAATGATGGATGGACTGATTAAGACTGGTTTGGGGATCTTACCAATAACAACAAACCCATAAATAAAGCTTAGGAGGACATGAAAGACCTTCAAATAACAGTGCCTATCTATCCATCAAGTCATGCATTTTAGTCACTCACAGGTCATTTGTAAAGAAAGCAAGAACTGATCAAGTCCAGAGAACATCTACCAGTGCTTGTGTTTCTCTGCCGTTTACCTTGTCGCCTCGGCCCAGGATGGCGGGCTTGCCGGCCAGACCCAGACAGATGGCACACACGATGCTGGACTTGCCAGTTCCGTTGGCTCCAACGATCATGTTCAGATTAGCTCCAGGATGCACCACCGAGTAATCGTATGTCCTGTTAAGGTATCAGCCCATATGGATAAAACAAGTCAAATATATATTTGAGGAAAATGATATTGCATATAAAACAAAACTAAGATATGTTGTTTAGCATGTGATATATACTGTTTAAGATAAGTAGGACCTTTATTAATCCCCGTGGGGAAATTCAGTAGTTTAACAGCAACAGGGTAACATTGAAAAACAGGACAGCACAGATTCACACAGATTAATCAAATTAAGGATAAAATCAAAGATAAAAATGATAAATAACTATAAACTAAGAAATTAATTAAAATGAACATATATACATATTTAGTCATGTGTACATATTATTTACATGTGTGTGTGAAAACAGTGTGTATTTTATGTCCAGTAATTGTGTCACATTGTTGACCCATTGTTGTGCAACCTGATGGCTTTTGTGTTGCTATCTTAATGAGAGTTTTCATTAGGAATTCTGCACTAAAGTCTACATATTTTAGTTACAGTATACACAATGTCATAAATGTCAAGGCAGGGCAACAGTGTCACAAACTGCAGCTTTTAAAATGCCCATTTGGTAGAAACATCTAAACAAACGCTGAACATCTTGAGGGGAGAATTGTTGCTCTCCTGTTGCATCTGACTTTTTTTTGTAACGAGGTGTATACTGATAAATACAGTCTATGATTGTACATAATAAACTGGCAGTTGAAGTCACAGAAAGAGCTGTTATGTGACCTTGACTTGAACTCCTCCACCAAGATCTTCAGTCATGCTTTCAGCTCCAACTCAGGAACAATTTAATAAGGTCCTTTAAAATCTTTATTGGAAAACAAAATAGATCAAATGCGACCTGATTGTATGAATCATTTGTGTGCATTAATACATAAGACATTAATGACACACAGGAGATCCAGATGGCAAATCCGGATCCTTTTACGGACTCAAGGTCTTCTGAGTTAGTCATTGAAGAGATCCGGATCATACGAGTAATTTGAGTCATATGAGTCAGCATCACCAAGAGTGTAGAAATCCTACCGGTGAAACAGGAGCCCATAAGGCGCTTTCACACCGGAGTAATTTTCCCAGTATAGTTCCGATAGTTCTTGAAATGTTGCGTTCACACCAAAAAAATCCGGAACTAGAACTTAGTTCATGAGAACCTTTTCACCCCCTTTTTAGTCCCTGCTAGAGAGCAGGTACTTTCATGGGAGAAAAAGGTTCCCATTTCTGATTGGCTGGGTGGATTGCAAACCACGCCCCGTAAACACTGACTTTGGACCCCCCTGTGGCCCCCTGAAAATGAAAAGTTTATGATTAAACGATTTATTGGCTGACGGAATAGGCGGAACTAACGTTATTTGTCATTCTAGTCCAGGAGTGGCCAACCCGCATGCGGCTCTTTGCCCAGTCTCATGCGGCTCCTCAGTTTATATCGAATTTTAATTGTGTTTGTTTTTTTTTGCGCATATGTATCCCAGTTCACCAAGGGCAACACACAGGTTCCAGCCCAATCGTTACACAGAGTTTCCAACAAAGAAGTGCTTTAGCCAATCAGAATGCAGATCCTGCAGTACTGGCGGCGGGCTTTACTGCACTCGCGATGTGACAGTGAAGGGAGAGATCTGCTTCCGATCGGCAGAGATATAACTCAGAAAAAAACGTAATAACTCAATATAATGTTGTCAAATCAAAACGGTAACAATTTGCAGTGGTATATCATGTGTATGTGAGAAGGCCTAATCCCAGAAAGCTGGCAACTGACACAGAAGGACTCCCGAATTTTATGATTTGCGGTAAAGAAATAAACAAGAGAGAAAGTGCATCTCTGTCAGCAGAGCTTCTGTCAGTCAGAGGGTTAGGTAAAAGTTGAGATGTCATGTTAGGAGAATTAACTAAAATACACTTCATTTATTTTTAAATAACTGTCATGAATGTGTGTGAGAGATACAGACAGGGAGAATAAAGGCCAGGCATATTTTTATTAAATTATTAACAAAAATCGCAAATGTGCCCTTTCGTGCATTTGAGCCCCTTCCACATCCTCTGCACGTTTCAAAGAAGCAACATGCATAGTAAGATAACTACTTTTTTCAAATGTTTTTAACTGAGAGTTTGTGTGTGAGACACAATATTAATGATTGACAATAACTGACCTCTGGTCTTAATACTGGTAGGAGAGGTTTAAGTCCATTTCTGTCAATATCATGGACTGTGACATTTATAGGAAATCTGTATGTGAGAGGGTGTGTGTGTCTGTGGGAGGGTATGTGTCTGTGTGTCAATTATTGTAAATTTTTTGATTTTCATTTTGTATGTGTGAGAGATAGAGGGGCACATAGAGGAAGAGAGTGAGGGAGCACACAGAAAGGCTGAGAGCAAAAGAGAGAAGGAGAGAGAGAGGTCGGGGGACATACACCCAGCATGTGTGCCTGTGTGTATGATGTGGCTCTTTGCAGTAACACAGTAAAATGATTGGCTCTTTACCTCTGACTGGTTGGCCACCCCTGTTCTAGTCGGACCCATTAAAGCGGGAAAACTGTAACTATAAGTATCTGAAATAAATATGTGTACCAATAACTGTATTGCATTGTTTTCTTATGCGCAATTACTTCATACTGTCTTTTTCGTCCTGCATTTATTGTGCCCTTCTCAGAAAATAACTGGGTTAGGGTTAGAGGGTTAATGGAGAGGGGAGACTCGTCACTCCCAGGTCATTACTAGGATCCGGGTTAATGCTGCTGCTTAACCCACAACTGACGATGTTCATATGCAGGTCTCATGATAGAGTACCAGGAAGCGATAACTATGTTAGCATGTTTGCTATTAATGTGGCCATCCAGCTATCATGAAGATAATAATATGTATACGATATATTATGACTTTATTATATTATGACTGGTGGCAGTTGAGTTTCAGTCTACAGACGGTGTTCTCTGTTGTTGATACACAGCCGGGGTAACTTACAGGAAGTTTTTCATGGTGAGGCGAAATATCGATCCCTCCACAAAACGACCCTCCACTCCGGTCCCATCGGGCTGACTGCCGTTTAACAAGTTCGCTATGCTGTTGGAAGCATGAGAGCCGACAGCATGACTTCGTCGCCGTTTTGGGGCGGACGACGCCATGGTGAATTAAAAGAGAAGACTGTCAAGCGAACACAGCACAGGCGCGTTCGTTCTTACATTCATGCATTAATTCCCCGCGCGCTTCCTCCTAGTCTTTACTGAAAGCTGGTTGGACTAAAGAGGTCACGTGGATACACAAAGTGTGACGCCGTCGTCCAAGACAACGTTCATTATCGCGAGATACAATGCACAAAGTGAGTCAACCTCTGCGTTTTTTGTTTCACTTTATTATTATAGTTTTCAGAGGGATACTTACTATTTTGACGGTTACAGGTATTAAGAAGACATGATGAAAAAGCAGTATTGTAAATGAGGTTCCAGTTCAAATATAAAGTACAGTAAAATGTTTTTATATAATATAAAGACTCTCCCTAATACATCCATGGATACAGCATATAACCAACTGATATATGTATTTACTAGTGGAAAAATGATGCAGTAATTGCATTGATGTAAACAAAAAAATATGTTTAAGATATACCATCTTATTTGACAGGGCATAACATGTTTTGAGGTTTAAGTCAGGAATAAGGATATTAAATAAGTTCTGTAGCATAACATGCATAATCTATTCCTTCATTGTATATACACATTTGAACATTACAATAAATGAAACTGCCATAGTAAAAAAGACGTGAGGTTATGCGTGTGTATGTAGTTTTTAAGACAATATGTAGGAGAAGTGTAGAAAACATTTGTGGTTCAGTTTAATTGTATTGCATCCAACAGAGAGGTTTGACGTATTGTTATATTTGGGGTGGACAAAATATTAGAAACAATTTTATCAAGAGTGAATGTATCTTACAAACTGTGCTGTTGTATTTGCTGTAAAGTGTCTTTACTGTAGGGTATTTTTATTATATGTACAGCACTTTGGCTCGACCAAAAATCGTTTAAAAATGTGCTATATAAATAAAACTTGATTTGATTTACCCAGGTATACCTGATGAAACTGGCAATTGAGTGAAAACACAGGACAATATGTTTACTTGTTTCCCCACGTTTATTTTAAGACGATACTGACTGGTAGTAGACATGGAATCAAATGAAGGATGTTAGGCTACATACTAGACATATTTTGCATAAATGCACTAACAATTGTTCAGCCAAAAGCGAATGGAGTGGGGATATTCAAAGTTCTTAATTTATAGTTTTCCTAGCAAACATTTCCTTTCCCAGTTTGGTTCTTGCTGATCTGCAGCAGAGGTATAGAAACACTAAAGAGGCACACAAAAACTCAGTTACACAATTGCTTCCAATAAGACGACAGAAGCTTCTTTGTGGCTTTATACCAAACGTTTATACAAATTGCTAAAGGAATCTCTAAACAGCCAGTATGGATAGGAGGAAAAACTGCTGCACCTACATTTAAATTCATTTGTGGGTAAGGCTTCAACAAAGAATTAGAAAAATGTTAACGTAAAGTGGAGCAAACGGTCAGCTACAATACTTGTTTTAACTGGTTAGGTAAAAAAATTAAAGCTATTCTAATTTAAATCAACCCCTCCCAACTTCACGAGTGGGGGAAAATAACTGCATAACAAAACATGTTCTCCTTCCGTCTACCACTCCTTATCACGAGGTACATTTAAATGTCTTCACCTCTTACATTTGAATACTCTAGCTCTACGTTTTTCCCGCGTATTCAATGTTGTTCAAAGTCTTATGTTGTAAAGTACTACGCATTACCTTTGACTCTGAAGAATGCTCAACGTTTGAAAGTCTGCTACCGCAACACCTGAAATGTTCCTTCTTGAACTCTTCACGGGTACATCTTTCTAAACAAACTTACTGTACCATAACTTTAAGAGGCCTAAATCTAATTATTTTTCACCTCCGGGTTGCAGTAAACGTCCAGACAGTTTATCAGTAAAACAAAAGCGGGCAGGACCTTAGAATATGACATTGTGTATTTGCAACAATGAAAACTAGCGGTGCCTCGTACTGTATATCAATGAGCTTCTTACGATCAATATCCGTCCAGGTACCTCACGCTGCTTCTCGGTTGTGGTTAGATCAGAATCGCTTCTTTACTCAGTGTCCGTCGTGAAGCTTGAGATGAACCCAAACTCACTAGAACTAGTATATCTGATCAACTCATCACCTCTGACCACAACATTGAAGCGTGGAGGCCCTCGCTAACATATCGCATCTACTCATCGCCATAGAGGCTCGAGAGCGCTTTTCCTATCATTTCCAGTCGGAGCAGAGCCAAACTCAGACCAGATCAAATAAGATCACTGTGTAGATTTAGGAGGAACACATTCACACACTCAAACATACCACATTTACTCACACAAACACTCGTCCAACACGCTCACACCATTCAAACGCCATTCAAACTGTGAGCGCGAAGAACATCCGGGTCGCCTTTAAAGCTAAATGCCGCAAGGAATCATGGGACATTGAAAGTAGCATGTGTTTGTGAGCATAGTGACCTCATGTGGCCATTAATGGAAAATACATTTCCTCATTTTTGTCTGTTTCTTACATTAAACGAGCAAGTCTATGAACACAACTGTGGAATATACATATATATAAAACTGCCATTGTCATTTGATCTATGAACAACTTTCAATCAGTCATTTGTGAGGAAAAGGCTCACAAATCACCTGAATCACTGTAAATACCTTCTGAATTTAAGGTTTTAAATATACAGTGGCTTAAGAAACACAAATGTGAACCATTCATGTATTGAAAGAATAAACTGGTGATATTTGTACACACACTTAAACTCAAACACATACACTTTTCTCCTACTATTAATTGCAGTGCAGAACGTTTTGTATGTTCTGTGTTTTCTTTATCCTGAGTCGGTTTAATCCATTTGTTTGTTTAGTTGGTTCGAGCCTTAAAGGCCTACAAGTAAACATGACTTTTATTAAGCATTAGCTGGCAACCTTATATACATTGCATTGTTAGTGCCTGCATTATAACATTAACATACAATTAAATAAACAAACAAATAAATTATAAAGATTGTGCCACATCATTTCAGTTTTAGTGCTGATCAGAAACCACATAATAGCTACTGTAACCTAGATTGTCTGCTGACAAGGCATTGTGACCTGAAACCGAGTTTTAGAAATGTTGATTAAGCACATTTAGAATAATTTCCATCTCAATGTAAAGTATCCATCTCAATGTAAAGTATCCATCTCAATGTAAAGTATCTATCTCAATGTAAAGTATAACTAACCAAGTTTAAATACAGCAAATACAAAGCCAAAAACTACTCATTGCAAATTATGTGTTTACTTTGATTATCTCTAATAGAGAACTATTATTGAGTGAAAAATCTACTTCACCAAACAACATGTTGGTTGTTTGAGTTGACTTGTTATAGTGCCGTGTTAGATCGGTTTTAAGCTGCACTTACGTCTGCAGCAGCCACCTAATCTAGCATCCTACTCCCTGTGGGGGTTGTGCAGTAATCTTGAAAGCGTAATAAGATTTTAGTGTACAGTAACACTTTTGACTAGAGCTAGGTGGCACATTCATTCTGAGGAGCCCTCATCAACAATTATTGGATTCAACAAAGAAACAGACAACAGATAGACGATGTGAGGAGATGTGATTCTTTTTAACAATGGACTAAGAAACACCGTTACTGCACAGAAACAGTGCACCTACCACTTCCTTCCATGGCTTCAACTCCAAAAAAAGTGAGTTGTTTTATCTCACTTTAATTTTATCTGGTTAAGAAGTGGTCAACGCCTGGTGGCCATCTGTCAGAGGTTTAGTTGACTTCTGTCAGACTGTTACTGTATTTACAGTTGTTTCTTTTAAATGCTATGACCAATACACTAATATCCCTCTTTATATTATGTAGACTCATGTTACAGAATCATTAATTTATGAATCCCTTTAAGAGAATCAGGCAAGCATCAAAAGTGTTTCTATCCATCCTACATTGATTCTTAAATTATGAACCTTACGCAGAAATACTGTTGACACCACATGCTGCATGTAGACGTGACTTATCTTTGTCATAATGAAAAACATTAGTTCTTTCAATTGTAAGGGTTCTCATGTTACAATGCATATGAAAACAAAACAACCATTTAACCAAAAGTATAGGGTCAGCTGTTTATAGCATTTCAGAGTATCTGTTATAGAGAGAAAGACAAATTATGAGATTAGGTGAAGCGATTTTTTTGGAATCAATCCCAGCCCTGCAGGCTCTGACTGGAACAATGGCGTGCAGCAGGTCAGACGCCCATCAGGTTATCTGTCAGCTCTAAACTCTCTGCTGGAGCCTGAGGAGGGACAGGATCTGGAGGCTTAAAAGTCTCTGACAGGAACATAAAAAGACACAAACAGTATTGGGCTCCTGGAAGCCCAGAAACAGAGCTCAGTGATCTTATGGTGAGCTGTGAGGCAGTTTATTAAAGAAGCATGCTTGACTTACAGCAGCATCTACCATCTGTTACTCCCTCTCCTCCTGAATATCTGATTTCAGCGGGTGTGGCAAAGGTTTCTGTCTGGTTGAGTTACAGGCATACCAAGTGTTCATCTTGTGTTCCTAAGTGTAAATACATGCAGACCCTTACATCATTTTCTTTTTTGAATGAATGGGACAACAGGCCCTGTCCTTTCACCCTATTACAGTATTTAATTGAACCCCAAATCTAATCATTTATGAAATTAAAAAGTATAATTAATGGTAACATGTTTGGCTCAGCTAGTAACAATAGAATACTGTAACTACATACTAACAGAATGTCTCTTCATTTTTTATTTCATCCTTTTAAACCTACAGAAACCAGGATATGGAAATCACAAGAAAGGTATTTATCACACAAAAGCTGAACGTAAATGGAAATAGTATTCTAAAACAGTTGATTATACTGATGATTAGAATATTTGATTGATAGAAAGGGTCACATGTTTACAATCTTATATTTAAATGCTTAAACTATGAGATGTATCAAGTAGATTAATCAATGCATTTGAATGATTGATTGATCTATAATCATCTGTTTGATGAATAACTTAGGAATGATTTGATATAATTATCTTATACCTACTTGACATACATTTTATTTAAATGCTGTTCACTCTTTGATTATATTTGTAAATACTTTGTGGTTCAAATCTTAAATTAACAACGTCAATGATGCAGTAGTTTTAAACGTTTGTCTACTGATCCATGTCAAGACTTCTCAGAAGGAGTGTTCAGATCTGAGGAGGTACAAGTAAAACGAAGAGATACAGTATGAGTGGTTTTGTGTTCCTTAGAGGCGTCTGTTGGCCGCCAGCGTCTGTCCCGTCAGTCCACAGCAGACGGCAGCGGGGACGAGGCCCTCCAGCCCCGCAGACTGAACGGCTCCCCAGTGTTGGTGCCGAGCTACCAGAACCTGCACCGGGAGCTGATGCTCAGCCATAAACGGTACAGGAGGTCCAGCACATAAAAACAACAACATACCTGTCTGATCTTAAAGGTCCCCTATTATACTGTTTTTCATCAATATATTATAGGTCTCAGATATATACAAAACATGTCTCTGAAGTGTTTGGCTCGAAATACCAAACAGATCATGCATCCCATAAACCCCTCTGTTTCAGCCCTGTTTCAAAAGTGCTGATTTTCTGTCTGTTACTTTAGATGAAATAAGGAGCCACTCCCCACGCCCCTCTGCCATATATTTGGTTAAAAAAAACAAAATGGTGCTCTAGGAGGAGATTCAGGTGATAAGGTGGGGCGGGGCGGGGGTTACCTTGGATGGTGATTGGCTAATGGTTACACAAGCCAAAAAAGTGGATTTTGCATAATAGGTGACCTTTAATGTGGTCAACATTTGAAGCAGAGCATGTTGGACTGTCTGTGTAACTGTGACTGACTGACCCTGCAGGGGCCTGTTTCCTGAGGAGAGACCAGAGCTGAAGCGAGTGCTGGAGCAGCGCAGACTGGAGCTGCACAAGGAGGAGGAGCTGGCCAAACAGCGGCCCTCAGATCTGGAGACAGAGCTCCGCAAGAGGCAGCAGAAGATGCAAGAGGTAAACAGAAGCACATAACAAACAGAGAGACAATAAAGGAAGCATAAAGTACAAATACATTCACTTTGGCCAACTCATACAAGGGCTGTTTTTAGTGTTAAAACAAGGGATTTTCAGGGTCAATACCAGCAGTTAGTCTGCTCTAAAACATAGGCCTACTGCACTGAAATAAAATGTTGAGGTATTTAACTTGAGTATTTACTTTGTCTGCTACTTGAAACTCCCACTTCATTCAATTTCATAGGGAAATAGCCAATCATGCTTAAAGGTGGGGTAGGTAAGTTTGAGAAACCGGCTCGAGATACACTTTTTGTTATATTCCATGGAATGCTCTTAACATCCCGATAGCAATGAATATCTTAAGTGCTTTGACAAAAAATCCATAAAAAAATGTCATCTGTGGAAGCCGTAGTACTGTAAAAAGCACGACCAATCATGTTAACCGGCCCGGCTAAAATAACTGGATGGCCTACCTGCCTGTCAGCCTTCCATCTGTGCACAAACTTATCTCGTGCCCTCATTGGTCATGTGCGCGTTTGTGTGTGTTGGAGGAGGGGCTCTATAAGGAAGTGGCAGATTTTCTCCGGTTGTGTATTTTCAAATTCTAGTGATCTCGAGCCGGTTTCTCAAACTTACCTACCCTACCTTTAATACTACATTTAATTTATACGACAGGGTAAGGTGTTCATTTTTAAATGTAGATCTAACATTAAAAGAAAAACATATAGTTAGCCTAAAAATACAATGCATTGTTGTATATTAAACCAGTTTTTCCCAAACATATTAGCTTGCGGCCCATTATAAAAAATAAAAAGCTACAACAATAAACCCATAACAATAGGTGCAATCCCAAGGTTTAAAAACAACTAACCACATTTTTTGGCCAAATCTGACCTTGTTATTTCCCAAAAATATTGAATTATTGGTGATTGAAATGTTGTTTCTGGTGTTGGTCTGGACTAGGACGAGGTGCATGACACTGACTTTTCTTTTGTCTTTCCAGTATGAGCAGGAGGAGATCAGGCAGCGGGAGAATCAGCAGAAGATCCCGGAGTTTGTCCGTGTGAAGGACAACCTGAGGCGGACACAGACGTGAGGCCCCGAGCCTCCCATCAGCCCCTGAAGTATTTCACCATAGTGGCCCAATTCACATTGTCACTGAGTGTGAAAACAAACAAACAAAAGCATCACAGGCATCATGTCATTACACATGTCTTAGAGAATTACATTTAAACATATTATAATTAATATAAGGATCATGCAGGAAACATGTTTATTTCCAAAAAGCAAAGCCATGTCAAGAAAAAGACAGCTTGCAGCATTTTAACTCTATTTTTGTCAGGGGTCTTTGTGCGACCTGTTTAACTTCGTTACAGTTCAATTTCGGATGAGGGAGTGAAAGTACTTATTTTGTATTTATAATTATGTGGATCAACAATTGTTGAGGACCAGAAGATGGATATTTGTTATGTTTTTTTTATGGTGATTTACCTATTATATTGTTCAACTTCTCATACTTCCTCTTGGATTAACGTTTGTTTAGAGTACGGATCACATCCTTTTAATTCCATTTACCTTTTGTAAGATCACTATACAATTGTTAACAGAGACAGTTCTCAGCAGAACTGTTTTCTATTAATAGAAATCCCCTACAATGTGCATGTTTGTGTATCTGTGTCATGACTTCTGGATTTTAGTGTGTCCATGTGCTGTGGAAATAAAATACTTTATGGTTTGCAGAGATGTGTTGTTTTGTTACAATTCAAAGCAGTGGCGATTGATTTGCATGCATCTCTTCTCCCTGAGGACTCTCGCGCTTCTTTCACATGGATATTGGACTTTGTTTAATTAGCTGATCTTTTCATTCCATCACGGGACGAGAGGAGAGAGCTCAGGCCATCTGGAGGAGCCTTTTCAGGATATAGAGGCTAGGAATACCCAAGGGCCTGGTTAAGGAACTGGAAATATTTGGGATAGTCGGGGAAGCCACCGGCTATAGGCAAATAAAAACAGCCTGTTTGTTTTGTCAGAATTACATTTAGACTTTATAGATAATCAGTGGGAAAAAGAGGTAATCAGATCTTAATTTAAATAAGGAAACTTTACTTGTAAAGAATATAAAAGGAAAAAGTACACAATAGGTTTTTTATTATTATCTACACCATTTCATATTATGAGATTATTGATACTAATACATTAAGCTCTAATGCCATGGAATAAACCTCCCTAAATGTCACCGTACTTTTAGAAATTAGCCATGTTAAAAATAAAATAAAAACACAAAAGTACAGAATAGCATTGTTTAATATGTCATTTTATTTTCTCTTTTTGTGGTCGTTCTTTTACATTATGTTTTGTCTCTCTTTTTTTATCTTGAGATCCCTGTTGTGTTTACATTTTCTGTGTATGTCTGATGTTCACTTAAATCTATATGGCGTTGTTATCTGTTAGGCTACTTCTAACTAAGATTTTGAAAGGCGTTTAGAATAGAATGTATTATTATTAAAAAGTCTGATATTCTGCAGCAAAGCATATCTCTGTTACTTTGCAGATTATATCATGTCTAAGATATTTAATGAGCAGATACAATATTATATGCTATAAATGTAGTTTTGATTATCCCCTCCTCAACCAGCAACTACATTTAAATGCTCCTTACAGATTAATAGTAAAAGCATGATCCTATTTAGCTTTGAGTCTGGATGGTGGTGCTTTAACCACATTTGATACTCTGACCTGAGGGGTCTCAGAGCAGAATAAGGGGTTAAGAGTTCTTTAATGTAAAGCGGAGCCAGACCATGTAGGGTATTTAAAATAAATCACTAGGGTTTTGATCTACACATCATTATTGATCATTAATAAGGGACTTTATTGGTAATTTAATTTATTTTTAATTGTATTTTCCCAGTCAATATTTATGTGGTACTACTATTGTTATTGAGATGAATTAAATGTGGGCCTGACTATTTATATTGTGAGTATAGTGAGAATCAATTAACAATAGTCATGTATTTGTATGGTTAAGCTATAGCAGTTTATAAAGTAGGTCTAATTAACATTCAAGTGATGGAAACATTAATTTCTAAATGTTATTCGAATACGTAGGCTATATATAACCTAGCCTTTGATTCTGGAAAGGGGTATAGTGCATGATGATACTTTTACGTTTGACTTTCATCTTGGCAAAAACAACAACATGTATTTGTTTTCATCATCATCATGGCGGAAAGTCGGGGTGAGTATGGTCTTGTTTTTACCACCACTACTTACTCACCAGCTGTCCTGGCTTTTACCAAAACTTGTCTCTCCCCCCGGCCATTCTTCTTTTGTGCCTCTTTCCAAAGGAAAAGCCCCCTCAGTGAGTCGCGTGCTGTGTCAATATAAGCAGAGCGTGTCTGGAGAGTTAGCAGCGTCGGACCAAACCATTTATGAAGAGTCTGGGGAGATCACCGGTACATGTTAATATTCATTTCCTAGTTAGAAACTTATTTTAATGAAATAAATCAATTCGGAGAGAGTATATAGAGTTTACAAGACAATTTAAAGTAAAAATAAGTTTACTTGTGTGTCAAAAAAGAAGTCATAGCAAATGTCTTTTACATGGTTCCCCCGTCACTGAGACAGTGGTGTTGACTGAAACAGATGTCCCAAGCGTCGCTTTCACATCTGAGCAGAGAAAGTCTGAACACAGCGGAGAGGATGCTTTAGAGGAGAAGATAATAAACTCAAGGTGAGTACACAATACTTTAAATAGGTTAACAACATGATATATAATGGGGAAACAAATTAGCAGTAGCATTACTGCAACCAGCATTAAGCTAGGATGAAGTGTGTGATGGATGTGCTAATGTTATAAATCGGTAAACGTTTTTGTAGCTCTATAGAGCCAATAGCCTAAATTAATTTGCTATTTGTGCTGCATTATATAAGTCTTTAAACATGTGATTAATATTATTAAGATAAGGGTGACTCTTCTTCAGTGTTGTAAAGTAACTAAAGTGCATTTACACAAGTCATGTACTTCATTATATGAGTTAACGTTGAGTATTTAATGTTTCTATTACTTTGTACTCCTACATCACTACAATGTACTCTCTTTCTAACTGAATTTAAAAATACCAGTCACTTTGCAGACTTAACATTCAAAAGTCTGAAAATATAATGCATATTCTGTTGATATTTAAAGTAGTCCTAATGTGTGTTGATTATACGTATGTACTTTAAATAAAGTGCACTTTTACACAGGATTTAAAATGGACAATTCAATAACGTGATATTGCCTTTTTTTACTTAGTAAAGTAGTAGTTTCAGTCTTAGTAAAGTAACCAGAAGATCCAAAAGGGATCTGACTTCTTCATTAAAAAATGCAATTAAATATACATCAGTTCCTACTTGGAAGGGAGGTTGAGTCTCTGCAGTGTAGTAACTTGTCTGTATTGCACCATGGATATGCACATGTTGCTTTCACTGATTAACAACTCTAATTTAATTGTGGCAGCAGGCTGGTTGCTGGCAGTTGTTTGTGCCCACTGCAATAAACACAATCTCCATCAGTCCACATGTTGACAGACATGCAGTGCTACTGTGGTGTTACAGACAACACCTCTGTGTGGTTTTGCCCCCGCAGTCCCCCTGTTATTTTGTAAACGGTGGGTACTTGTGGGTGAAAAGCTGTAACCACATCCTGCCACAACAGCCTGAGATGACCACCAGTGGCCATTCAGAGGCCTCAGAAATGATGACTCAGAGGGACAAGGTGTCATGATCCCTGGGCAGCCCTTCAGCCTCTAGGGAACAATGGAGCATCTCTTCTTGCACTCTGTATTTACGCTGTCGTTTTGGCTGGGACAGAGCTGGTGTGTCTGGCCAGCATATGGCCTCCAGTGACTGAGCGCAGGCCGGTATGGTGCTTATTACCCCTGCATTGTCTCTGCTGGAAAACGAAGACCCCTGCACTTCTTAACAATATTGTTCTGACAAAGAAAAGAGCCTGACAGTGTCGCTGTCTTTGATACAGACTACTCAAAATAACCTTGGCTTTTTATGCTATCTCTGCATGTTGACACCATTGGTGGAAGAAACACTTTGATCTTTTACTTTGGTATGGTAAAAACTACCGTCTTATACATTAGTATATACTATTGGATTCCATTATAAGTCTGATGCATTCATGTGTTTAATGGTGCAGCTGGTAAAGATACTATACTACCTCATGATATACTTTGTATCAATAATCTGAATCTAAAACTACAGCTTTCGAAATAAATGTAGTGCAGTTAAAGGGACAGTATTTGCTTTTAAAAATGTAGTAGAGTAGAAGCATAACTTAACACGTAATGGAAAGTAAAAGCACTTATAAATGTAACTTAAGTTCAAAACATGAGTAAATGCACTCAGTTACTTTCCACCACTGTTTGCTGCCGTCTGTGCAGTTTTACACTCAGTGACAAAGATCTGACTCCAGTGTTCCAACAAAACACTTTCTTTTTTTTGTCCTCCTGCCGGTCTCCCACATTGATGCACTTTTCTTCCAGCAGCCCATATTGTGTGCAGAGTGGATCCATTTTGCTGAATGGATTTTGGCTTTTCATCAGACTCTGAAATAAGGCATGCTGTAAAGTCGTTTGGTTTCTTCCATAGTATCAGCACTCAGTGGAGAGTCTTAATTACAGGGTTTGAACAGGCCTCGGTCTGGTTTCAGGCATCCCTCACTGTTTCCCCGGCGAGGCTGGTCCCCATTGGTAATTCCAGGGCCGACCACAGTGGTAATGAGCGCGGCGGTGGTGGCAGCATTCCAGGAGATCGCAGCTCCAAAGGCTCATGGGAAAGGGTGGTGGGGGAAGTCTGGGAGACAGTGAATCCACATCATGATCTCTTGCCATAAACACCCACTTCCGTAGATGATACACTGTCACGGTCTGATGAGTGGCGAGGATGGGAGAGATGGTCCGCTCCCATCCCTGACACGTTTCGAGATAGACTTAATTAGTGATGATCACATGCCCCGCAATCAAGATGTTTTGACTACATCAATCAAGCCGGGTGGAGACTGTGCTATCAGCAGCTATCCCTCCAGGAAATGGCCTGCTATTCCTGTTACACTCAATCCATTTTATTGGCTCTCCCTCAAGTTTGTATGTAAGCTATGACAAATGGCATCAACATCTTGGCAATAAGCTGCAACTTCTGGTGAGATCTGCTGTTTTAGTGAGATCTGCTGTTTTTCCCAAAAGCACCCACCCACTCACACAGCCTAGACCTCCGACCACAGACTCTTGTGAAAGTCTTCAGAGAGTTATGGGGTGTAGGTGGGTAAATCCTGCAGTACCCTGCCTGTCTCTGATTACCAGGCTGGATTCCTGTTGACGTCTTTAGTTTGAGAACGCTGCAGCATGGAGACATGTGTCTGAGCGTGCAGCAGACCTCGCACAGTAAAAACTCAGCACTGTTCCTTTCCCCATCTCTCACTGCAGCCTTGTCTCAATATTGGCCCCACAACGAGTCGTCAGCAGATATTGTGCCCACAGCAGATTATTGAGACTGGTCGGTGGATACAGGGCCTTTGTCGCAGTGTTGTTTTACTGACTCGAGCAGCCTGTGCCTCATTGTACTTTACAGCTGCTCATAGCTGCGTCAGTTCACATGAGTTGCGGTGGTGAATGGGTCAGGCCGCTGAGATCCACAATAATATCCTGTCCACCTCCGTGTCCTCCTGGTCCCTACAGGAAGGCCTGATACCAATCTCCAAACACAGAGGATGAGACATGAGCTGAGGATTATACATGGCCGCCTTATGATCACAATCATTTTTACCATGTCTGTTTTCATCTTGCCTTCCCTTTTATTCCGGACTAGAGCTGCGAAGATTAGTCTACTTATAGTCAATTCAATAGACAGAAATATAAAACTGTAAAGTCATATTCAACTCAATAACTTTGGGTTGACATTTTACAAACCAAACGATTAATCAATTAACCTATAAAGATCAGCTTATTTATCATTGCTACAAATTATAGTTATTATCAGTCTTATTCCTGATTTACGTCACATCATTTGGTTCTGAAATGAAGATTTGTTTCCATGATATAAATAAAGAAACTTCTTGACGAAATACTTGAGGCTAATGATATCCTTTAATCACTTAGTTGGCTGTCAAATGTTCTCTTTTGATCTGCATGCCTTCTTTAAGAGAAGCCTAGGGTGGTTGCTGTCATGTGAGATCCAGGAAAAATTGATTAACCTAAAAAGAAATTGTCATGATGCAATTTCTCCAAAACAGGAACCCACAGACCCCCTGGCCAGGTTTAAAAGGCCTCGACTTATCCCTAAATGTTTACACCAATTTGCCGTCGCCATTGTTTTCCTCTTCTTGTTGTCGCATCTTGGTTTTTGTTTATTGTCAGTCAGATGTTTTAGGGACAGCAACAATGGAACAGAGCGGGCCATAAACATGAATTGCGCTCGTCTGTTTGTGAAAGTGTGTTAGTGAAATGGGCAGGGACCTTGTGCTCTGATGCTACGTGGACAAGCCCAGCATTGAGACATTCTTCCACTTCAAAGCCCCTGAGGGTTTTCTGGACACTGGTTGAATAGGAGCTGAGGGAGGGGTGCGTGGGGGGAACAGGTGCAGTCCATGAGTGGGGTAATTCCTGCTGCCATCTGCTTTCTTTTTCGGGGTCTGGGCTCTTTAAACGCCCTCTGACACGCCTCATGGAGACACACTCTCCTAGCCAGCCGCACCGTGCCCCGTCACCATGGCACCACGATTCGGATTAACCCCCGCACATGTGCCGAGTCAACCGTGGGGGTCTGCCTCTTTTGTGAGGGAGAAAGAGCTGGAGGAGGTGGGTGGAGGAGGAGGACGGGGGGATGGAGAGCTGTATGGATAAGTGTGTGAAAAGACACTCGCCAGTCATTCACTTCTGTTAAGTTAAGCAGCAGCAGGGAGCATGAATGAAGCCATGTGGTGTGAAAACAACAGGGGAATCTGTACAAGTGATCAATCTTATTTTGACTAATCTCAGTTATATGTGCTTATTTGAACAGGTACTTCTATAAACTTAAGAGCAGATAGTCAAGATGACGGCCATCGAGAGTAAAGAGGAGATCAGTGACACTGACAGCGGGATAATCGTGCACTCTGGTAAGGAAATCACCACAAAATACCGCATCTGATTTCCATGTATGTCATTTATAGATAAGTGTGCATAATCAAACTTAAAACCTGATTTGAAAAGAGCAAGTTCATGTCAGATTGTTGAATTTATTTATAATTTAGCAACTTGTTTCTAGCTTACTGTGAAGATTTTAAAATTGTGAACGAATAAAATCATGTAATGCTCACAAGTTGCAATTTTTCAAAAGCAACTATATCATCCCAAAAATGAATTTGATACACAATGTAGGCACACAAAGAAAACGTTCAGGTAATAGAAAATGATGAAGAAAGCCTTATTTAAGTTCAGACTTACTTTATTGTCCCTCTGGCAAATTTGCCCTGGAAATCTGGGTGTCTTCAGTATGATATACCCGCAAAACAAAATGAATACGTTCATCCATTAAATGCACATTACCATCTACATCAGAAAAAAACTGAACAGATGTTCTGTGTGTCTGCAGTCCCTGACAGCCCTGTGTCCCCGGTGAAGGACCTGACCACACACACCAGAGCCCTGAAGCTGAAGCACCAGTCTCTGGAGGAGCGTCTGGAGCTCTGCCTGCTGGAGCTCAGGCAGCTCTGCATCAGGGAGGCGGTAAGTCATCTCTAGATATAAACATGTACATAATGTTATTTCAAGTCACCTATTATGCAAAATCCACCTTTTCATGTCTTTTATACAAACATATGTGTCCCCTGTGCGTTAAGAGATTCAGAAAGTTTCATGAAAAAAAGAATCTCTTGTCCTGATCCATTTATATAAAAACCTCAGCAAAATCAGCTGATCGAATTTTGGCCATTTTGTGATGTCACAATTTCTTTTTTGGGTTATGCAACCATTAGCCAATAACGTACCAAGGTAATCCCTGCCCACCTTATCACCTGAATCTCCTCCTAGAGCACCATTGTGTTCTTTCAAACCAAACACTTGGCAGAGGGGCGAAGGGAGTGGCAGTTCATTTGTATTTAAAGCTACAGACCCAGAATCAGCACTTTTGAAACAGGGCTGAAACAGAGGGGTTTATGGGATGCTATAATGATCTGTTTAGTATTCAGAGCCAAACACTTCAGAGACATGTATTGTTTACACCTGAGACTGAGACCTATAATATATTGTTGAAAAAGAGTAAAGTAGGGGACCTTTAAAGTAGGTCTAAAATGGTATAGGTTATAGTTGCATTTTTTGTGTGTCTCAAACTTGTCCCTCTTTGGTAATCATGACTTTTTTGAATTGACAGGAGCTGACTGGCGAGCTGCCCTCAGATTATCCTCTGATGCCAGACGAGAAGCTTCCCCGGGTCAGAAGGAGGATCGGAGCTTCCTTCAAGCTCGACGAAGGTCTGATCCATGTGAATGAACAGGTAGGAGCCGCCATCAGTGGATAATGTTTTTGTGCGATGAAAGAGATGATCATTTATCAGCTTGGACTAAATGTCAGAACTTGTGTTTATCCTAGGATTCAGAGCTGCAAGTGCTGGAAACTGACCTGGCTGTTCAGAGGCAAATTTATGAGGCGTCCCGCAAACTGTCCCTGGAGGGCAAGCTCAGCAAACCACAGAAGAAGAGTCGACTGCAGCAGTGCAAGAGGGAGGAGAAGAAGGTGAAGGATCTGCAGGAAGCCGTGTTCCAGCAGAGGATCAAGAGTGAATGCAACTCTCCATGCATCAGCGTCTCCAACAGCAAAAACAAAGGTGAGGACGCTGCTGCCCTCCTGAGGACAAACTGCGCATTGCACTCCTGAACACACTCGGTGGGTTTGATGGTCTCTGATCTTTAAAACGTGTCCTTTCTGTCTGCAGATCTGTGCATGTCTGATGACAGCTCCCTGTCTGATGTGGTGGCCCTGGATGATGGTGAGTGGAGAGTACATTTATAAATATAAGATTATCATCACTCGGACTCTGACCAGCATGCTTAGATTAGGACAGACATTAAAAAAGAAGACCTTTACCCTGACACCCATATATATAATGCATTGTAAACATAATGTTAATGCATTGTAAAAATGTCTTATAGCACTGTACGATTATAGTTCTAAGCACATATCAATATTCATTATGGTTTATGCAAATAATCATTCCATAATATGAAGCATTTTATAATGACTTAAAAAGGTAAGGTATCAAAACACCTTATATTTGCTGGTCACTCACTGACATCGTTTTTGCAATCCATACCTAAAATGCATTATATTCATACTTAGGCTTTATATGATTATACTGCGTATGATAAAAAGGCATTGTTCAAATATTATATTGTATTACAACTATGGGAATTATAATGAAATTAGCAAATTATGAACTATTATGATGCTTGACCTTATACTTAATAATGTGTAATGATTATCGTTAAAGGCATTCTGAATATTTTGAGGGCTTTTTAGAATACATTGCTCTAAGCAGATTATATTGCATTTCAAGTATGTTTATGATGCATTATAGACCTGGGCCTCTTAGGAATTAGAAGTATTAATGATCATTTTGGGTGGTGATATTTTGAAGCAGCAGGAAACTGACATGTTTGATGTTTTCTGTGATCGTCCACAGACGTAGACTCGTCCAGCCCTCTCTCACCTCCAGTTTTGGGCTACTCCGATCCCCTCCAGCTGTCATCCAGCAGCCTCCAGTCATCGAGCCAGCTCATCGTGGAGTACCAGCGCTCGCCCATCCAGAACTCTCCGTGGAAAGAGTCCAGTCTGGATCCGCCTTACCGGAAACCCCCAAACCCTCGCTCTGCTGGCAGCAGCAGGTCCAGGTAAGAGTCTGACCGTGTAATAACAACCTGTCCAATACATCTAATACAACTGCACTGGGTAGAGTGTGTCGACCAAGGTTATATTCTTTTGTTATTTAATTGTACAAGACTAAACAGCAAAAAACTGGGGATTAATTAAATGTCAAGTTTGTTTAAAGCTGTCTGATTTTTTAAATTTGGATATTTTAGAGTTTTTTTGTTTTTTTAACCACGTAATTGTTTCATTTTAATCAAATTTTTACGACCAGATATTGTTATTATATAGTTTTAGTTATTTTACATTATTTTCTACTGCTTATTTTCACTTAGTTTACTATAATAAACCTGTTCTCAACAAGACTAAAATATATAAACTTAATAACAAATAAAATAAACAAGAATCTTACTGTCCGTCTTCATATCCCACATCATGCTCCCCCCCCCCCCTTGTTCACAGTAGTCCAGCAGGAACCCAGATACCTGCAGAGAGCATCATTCCTCTGTCTCAGTTCATAAGGAACGCGGCCATGCGTCAGAACCACTCCTGCAGCGCCCCCTCCACCCCCGAGCTGCACGTACGCCGACAGTACACCCAGTCCTTCAGGTACAGACAACTCAGATTCATTAGCACACTTACGCACAAAGAGCATTACTCTCAACTAATAAACATTTGAATACACTCAATCATAGATCCCATTTTTCAGGAGTGTTATTGTTTTCAATGTTGTTATATCAACAATGAAAAAACTCCAGTAGGACTCAGACGAGGATGTTGCACTTTTCCTTGTACATGTGATGTTTTGGTGTTGTTGTTTTTTAGTTTTGTTTCTTTCCGTTAACTGTCAAGTGGGAACTAAGTATTTATTTTGTACGTTTTTGTGTTTCTCTTATTTTCCTACAATACTGTTATGATTGGCTGTGAATAAGAAAATATGAAGGACAGACCATCTATTTCTATTTATTACAATTTCTTTGAGAAAGGGACAGGTAATATACGATTATCTTTCTTCTCCCTGCTCCTTTTCAGGGTATGGTGTGTTTATAGAGACATGTTTTATAAATAATTGTTATACATTAAGTTGTGCATACCATGAACGGAACAAATACAAAAATGAAATGAAATATCATATTTTTCTATCTATTTAATATCATTTCTGTTTTATAACGGAGGCAACTTTTAAGTAACCCACTTTGGCTGGAGATAAACTAAATATCTTTTGAATCTGGCAACAACGTGTGCTATCATTTTACAATTTCTCATGATGTGTCCCCACAGACTTCCCAAAAAGAAGCTGCCTGCTGACCTGGAGCGTCTGGGCTCAGAGAACAATCGGGGACGAACCAGGCTGCCTCAGCGGCGATGCTTTGCTGACTTCATGGTGCGTACTCCGGAGTATTCGCCCTTACGTCCTTACCAGTCCAGCTCGGAGGACAGCAGCTCGGAGCACTCCTCCTCCTCCTACATCAGCTCCCCCGGCAGGGAGAAACCCACCGAGATGCCCAAGCTCTGCCCGCCGCCTTACGGGTTCCACTTCGGAGCGCAGAAGAAAGCGATCCCCAACTTCTCCAGCTCACCCAAGAACATCAACCAGTGTCAGCCCAGCCCCGGCTACATCAGGGCCGAGGCTGTCCCCCTCTCCCCTCAGGACCCAGACATTGGACAGAGCTTCCTGTCCCCCCCTCCTCCTCCTGTGGCACTCAGCCCTCAGCAGATACACTGGCAGGAGGCAGCATTGTCCCAGACGAGAATCCTAAAGCCCCCTCCGCCGTACACCAGGCTGGTGCGCACGCCCTCGCTGAATGAGTACCCTAACCACGCCGTCCGGCTGCTGCCCAGGGACATCGTGTCGGAGGAGTTGAAGTCGTGGCATCAGAGGAATCAGCTGCAGAGGAATCAGCAGAGCCCCCTGAGTGTCAGGAGCCCCACCTCTCCTCATCTGCCTCCATTCAGACAGGTTGGTGCTGATTATCATTTCAAAGTGATAAATGCCCCTAAAAACATGTTTGATGGAGTTATCACGGCTGCAGCTAGTCTGTTGATTATTTAATGAATTCATATTAATATATCAATCAAGAATAATGTCCATCTATCTTCTGGATTCAAAGGGTGAACATTTAAAAGTTGTGTTTTTTACTCAAAACTCTATTTTAATAACTAAAGAAATCCCTAGGGCCTTTCGCGATGTGTTTATTGCTGACGTTGACATTGGGATGACGATTTAAATATTATGCGACACTAATGACATGGAGAAGCAGTAATAGGTATTTCTGTTTGAAAAATCACATATTAGTTGATTTTTTAAATAATAATGACAATAAAATAGCTGAAAATTGTTCTTCTGATGAACTCACTTGATGCTAATATGTATATGTACTGAAAGCTTGAGGTGAACACTGATTTCATGAATGTTTCCGCAGGGTTTGGGTCACGTGATTCTGCAGAGGGCCGCAGACGGGACTCCTCTCCAGTGGTTCATTGCGGAGGACGCTGAGATCGTGAGCCAGGTGTAGCGGAGACCTCTCGCTCTGCATAGCCCTCTCTATTTATCGCTGTATTTATTTGAACTCTCTGTGAGATTGTATGTTGACATGATGCAAAACACGCTGACCTATCGGTACCCAGATGAGTGCATTTCTCTTTTTCATAGTTGTTTTTTAATTTAAAACTTAATGTATGGTGTATTCCAGTTTTATTTATATTAAAACATTTCCTAATAGATATTTCTAAAAGCATTCAGAAGTGAATTAAGGTTCATGCAAACAGATCTAAAAAGCATTTGCTGTGGTTTCAAGAATTTCTTTGTGTCTGGCACACATTTTGCACATGAAATTCATTCACACTAGTTTTCAAATACATTTCCAAATCTTAATATAATATTTTATTCTTTATTTATCTGTTACTAAGAGTTTCCCCCATGCAACAAGTAGATTTATTAACAAAATGCTGATATGAATTTGAACATGCATCTCTCTTTTTTTAAAGTTAAATATAGTTAAAGTTTAACATCTAACCATGACGTGAGAACTTAACGTTTGCTATTAACTTTTGAGTATTAATCACTGATGCCTTAAACAGTGGTTTGATGAATGTTTTCACTGCAGTTTGGTGTTTTCTTACTAACCGAGTGATTGTATCAGTTTTTGATATGTTTTGTATATTTATAATAAACAGCTGAAAGTTACATGTGTGGCTTTGTGACCTAGAAGGTGAATTATCAGAGAGTATTTAAAGGGTAAAATTCACTTTTTCATGTTGTTTATACATAAACATGTGTCCTCTCTGCGTAAAGAGATTCTGAACGTTTCAGGTAAACAGATTCTCTCACTTTTTGTCCTGATCCATTTATATGAAAACATGTCTGAAAATGAGCTGATCAGATTTTGGCCACTTTATGATGTCATAACGATTTTTTGGGTTGTGTAACCATTAGCCAATAACCAACCAAGGCAACCCCCCCCCCACCTTATCACCTGAATCTCCTCCTAGAGCACCATTGTGTTCTTTTTAACCAAATATCTCTCAGAGGGGCGTTGGGAGTGGCTCCTTATTTTCATCTAAAGTAACGGACCCATAATCAGCACTTTTGAAATAGGGCTGAAACAGAGGGGATTATGGGATGCTACAATGCACGATCTGTTTGGTATTTGGAGTCAAACACTTCAGAGACATGTTTTGTATATATCTGAGACCTATTATATATTGATAAAAAAACAGTATAATAGGGGACCTTTAAAACCAAAAATATATTTTATACCTTCATACAAAGACTGATACAGGTGTTTCAGCTCTACACACTCTACCCACAGTTACACAGCGTCCTCATTATGATATTCATGGCTGTGGCGCTTCATCAAAATTCTTCCACAATATGTAAGTGAGTGTAACGACACTGAGGAGCACGAACAGGTACATGCAGCAGAGCGCCCAGCGGCAGCGGTACAGCCAGAGAGCCAGAGGGTGTTTCCTCCACACAGACGCACACCTGGAGAGAGCAGGCCGTCAGTGTCCGTCCAGAGAACATACCCTCACAGTGGCTTTTAAAACACATGTTGACTTACGTGCTGATGGAAAGCTGTCGGCAAACATTAGTCTTCTTTTTATCCTTGTCAGCCTTTTTCTTCGATAACGCAGCTTTGCCCTTGTGTCGCTGTCGTAAGGTGTCCAGAGGGGAACTGTAACAAAGACAGTGACATAACGTTGTTTCAGTTCACTGTGGATGAAATGTTTCAGAGTACAAACACAGCAGAAGAAATATACTCTTTATCTATTTTGTTTTTAAGTTGTAGTTACTATTTGTGTTAAATATAAGTCTCGTCACAGTTCCCTTCATTCCCAGGCCAACAGAACTTTAAGAGTCAAATCCATAATAAAATGTATTTTAAAAACAATACAAGTGAGTTCACATTGATGATACTAAATGTGATTTAGTATATGCACCATAATGCTATATGGAAAATTAAATATATATTTTAATTAATTAATTACAAAATGGTTTCTTTAAGATAGAGCCTCAAAGTTCAGTTAAAAGGAATAGCATCCTTAGTGACATTGTCGCCTATAATTCTTTGCTTTAGTGGTGCATATTACCAGGAGAATATGTAATTTATCAAATTAAATGCAACAAGTAACTGTTGCAATTCCTACAACTATAATTATTGATGGTTTGTTTGTGAACTGTCATGATGTTTGAGATTTAGAGACGTTAGCTTAAAATGATTTTGCAAGTTTGTGACTGAAGCACCAACAAGTCAAACAGCAAATGTCTGTTCTCTCGGTGAGTTGTTTAATTTGGCAAAAAATGAAATAATTAGCTTGGACTTTCATCAAATCAAGCATTTAATAAAATATTAGAACTTGTAATATTACTCTTGCAAAAGTGCAGGTTTTCTAATAGCCTTAAAATGGCTGTTTCACATACACTCCTAAAAGAAGAGCAATCTTTTTAGAAAGGAATCATCAAGCGTTGTTTACTGCAGGCTCTTCAGTGTGGTGTGACTTTATACTTTTTGTTGTTTGTCTTTCTGGGGGCCAGTTGTTTTGATGGGAGGAGCTCTGGGCTGGGGTTTGGAGGTGGAGGGAGCTCAGCAGCTGGAGCCTCTGAAGCAGTTTCATCTGGATCCAGTGGCCTGAACAGAAAACAGATGATGGGAAAATCAGACGCTGCCCACATGCTGATCATGTGTCCCAGATGAAAACATGGATGCTGAGTCTCTACTGTAGGTGACCTGTCATCCACAAAGTATGCGTCGCCGCTGGGGATGGGGGGGCAGCCGGACTCGAGGCTCAGGCGGGGAAGTGAGCTGAGGAGGAAGGAGTCCTTGCTGAAGGACCTGGTGGCTTGTTTCTTCACGTCTCGTTTGATCTTATCCTGTACAGACAAGAGGGTGACACTCTCAGGGGCGGTTCTGGGGGGGGCAACAGGGGCCAGTGCCCCCGTAACATTGACCAGGGACCCCCCTGTGGCCCCCCTCCAAAAAAAGGTTATAATATTACGATTTATTGGAACTAAATCAAATCAGAGACCCGGATGTACAGTGGAGATTAAACTGTTCATGACTTTATAAAAGCAAATACCGGTTATGATTTTTTATTAAATTGTCACTTAAAGTTACTAAAACAAATACTCTAAATACAAATAAACGACTGAAACAAAGGACTGTAACTTACATTTACTAAAACAAATACTTTTACAAAAACAAATACCAATTACTGTATTTTATGTTTATTTTACACAATTACTTTACACTGTCTTTGTCTTTTTAACCCGCTTTTATTGTGCCCCTCTCATGAAATGTACTAGCCCCCCCCCCCCCCAGTCAAATTGGTCTAGAACCGCCACTGGACACTCTTCTGGCTTACTGGATGATACCATTTATAAACAGTTCACTAAAGAAACCTTCTTACCATGGATTGGCTGTGAATTAGTGTTATGCTGACTCTGCGACGATTAATGTTCTGAAATCACACAAACAAAAGACAGATTAAAGTGTTGAAAAGGTAAAGGTTCCTGAAAAAAATGGTTTTATAACCAAACAGCTGCATACCGGCTGAGAGATTTTGCCTATGCCGTCACTTTCCTCCAGATCTAAAACAAAAAAGTCAGTCAAATATATATATTATACTTCATGATGTCAGAATAAGATGAACACCCGTATACAGACTATGGGGGACCTGGCGATGCTCTGGGGTCGTTGAGGTTCCTGCAGGGGGTCTGCGGCTGGACGGAGCTCCTGGTCTCCTCCAGCTCCAACACTGTTCTGTCATGGCGTCTCTTCACATTCTCCACATGAGCCACCATGAGCTCCACTGCTCGGCTCACTCGGGCCTCCTACCAGAGACACAAAGATTATACAGCTCTGGAAAAAATTAAGAGACCACTGCAGCATTATCTGTTGCTCTGGTTTGACTATTTATAGGTATGTGTTTGAGTAAAATGATTTTTACTGACTACTGACAACATTTGTCTGTGTTGGAATTCAACAGACACTGGAATGGAATGGCTGCCAAACATGTAGAGATTAAGATTTAAGAAAAATGTGTAATGGTCTTTAAATTGTTTCCATAGCTCTATATCATAGGCAAACAAAGATATCATTGTTTTCCTATGTGAGAATTATTATTTTTATTTTTTCATTGTGGAGATGTGTTTTTTGGATTTCAAGTTTGCGGTATTTCTTTGTTGTTGTACCAATTGTGCTTCTTTAACTCTTTTAACATATTGGGACCATGTTGGGACAAGACTTTTCAATGTATGTATTTTATCTTTCGGATTTTATGTTATTGTATCTAATAACAGGGAATGATATAAACACTGTTGGTAACCTAATATTCCTGAAAAATGTTCCTTATATAAAGATAAATTATTTCTTAAATCAGGGATTAAAGTCTAATTTATCAAAGGTTTTAGAAATACCATAAAAATGGCCGGTGGAATTGCTCATTAACCTACCACAGTGAGGAAACATTACATTTTTTACATTACATTACATGTCACTTGTTAGACGCTTTTATCCAAAGCGACTTACATACTCAATACTGTGGGCAATCCCCACAAGAGCAATTTGGGGAGAAGTGTCTTGCCCAGGGACACAACGACATGCTGACTGCAGTGGGGTTTGAACCTGTGCTCCCCTGATCCAAACACCAAGGCACTATTCACTGCGCCACAGCCGAAACAAATGTATTGAAGTTGCTGTATATATGAAATTGATCTATTAAAACAGTTATTCTGAGACCCTTCCCCGCCCCACAGGTTGGAGACCACAGTCTAGTGGGGCCACCTGAGTGTACCTGGTGTACCGCTCCGAGCACCTCTGCTGTGTTGGAGATGCGCTCCACTGTCCCACCGAGGATATCCAGAGACAGCTCCAGCCTCTGCAGGATCTTACTGCGCTTACTGTCCAGACACAGGCCCTTCAGCGTCTGAAAACACAAAGACACACACGTCTGCTCTCTGGTGGGCTCAAACTTAAAGGTCCCCTATTATACTGTTTTTCATCAATATATTATAGGTCTCAGATATATACAAGACATGTCTCTGAAGTATTTGGCTCGAAATACCAAACAGATCACCCATTGTAGCATCCCATAAACCCCTCTGTTTCAGCCCTGTTTCAAAAGTGCTGATTCTCTGGCTGCATCTCACTTCGGTTAAATGGATTCCTTGCGTCCCTCACTTGCGTTGTTTCCCTGCGACTAGTCCCTCCCACCAGGGAAGCATGGAGAGACGCAAGGAAACCACGAGAAGCAGGGAAATGAGTTTTAAGAGCAATGGGATGTTGTTTCCCTCCGGAGCAAACACCCCCGCCTCTGTTAGTACACATTTACCGACACAAACATTTGGATCATCTGTTGTAGACCCAAATAAATCAAATCAAATAAGAACTCATTCTCAAAAAAGATAAACGCCATTCTTAAAATGTATAAACGAAAAAAGCGATCATGAAAATGTTTCCAATAAATGAATAAAATGATTTTTGACCACTTTGTTGTTCAGATATATCACATATTTGTAACTTAATGATTGAAACAAAACACAGTATAAACTGAGGAGTGACTCCTGTGAGTTTCATGTGTTTTCTTCACTCCGCTGGGAAACTGCTCTCATGTCAAGAAGCAACAGATCAGTGCATGCGCTGCATCGTCCAATCAGTGAGCGATACACAGTAAGGGGGCGGGGCG